ACCGAAGCGCTAATATCACCGCCGGCTTCTACTTAAACTCAGACATGTACAGACGCTCACCCGGGCACCGCGCCAGCGAAGACATCTGGCACGCACGGATGGGACACCCAAGCAACACAACGTTAAACAACACAATAAGAGCAGGAGTGCTCGACAAAGACTCCCTACTACTGCACGACGGGAGAGAACTTCAACGAGTCAGAGGAACATGCTTCACCTGCCCCGAAGCCGACCTACCGCATCAGCCGTTCGTACCTCACCACAACCCAAGTGCACCTGCATACACACCACTTGAAAAGGTGTACAGCGATATCCTGTACAATCACGCAACAGGGCAAGGAGCCTTCAATTACACCATCACCTTCATCGACGCCGCCACTCGATACGTCTGGCACCTCAACCTTCCAAGCCGCGATATGGCTTTCGAAGCCTTTGTCGCCTGGCTACCAGTTGCGGAACGAGAATCGGGAGCTAAGCTGAAAAGCTTTCAGTCAGACGGGGGAGGAGAATACACCTCACAAAGGTTCAAGCAATACTTGGCGGAAAGAGGAATCAAGAAACTCATCTCCCTCCCCTACGCCCATCAACAGCAGGGTGTAGCAGAAAGGATGAACAGGACCCTGCAGAACACCATGCGCAAACTGCTACGTGGCATGCGGCTACCCAACCACCAGTGGCCAGAGGCGATGGACCACGCTGTCATGCTGCACAACTTGCTATCCTCGTCGTCACTCCCGAACAACGCATCACCGCACCTGTTGTGGACAGGAAAACTGGGCAGCACAAAAATGTTACGAGTTTTTGGGTGCATGGTACAGTACCGACCCCCAGCTGCACGAGCCGGCCGATTCTCCCAACGAGCACAATGGGGACTACACCTGGGCATCGAAAAGAACTACAACGCGTGGAAAATTTTCGACGTCCACTCAAAAGAAACAGTACCAGCACGCGACGTCATCTTCTACGAGCGACTCACCCTCGACTCCTACCTTGCCAACTTGGCAGAACAGCGAGACCTCACCAGTGGATTCCGTGGAGACAGAGCCTTCGCTTCGGCAGCCGACGAAGCTGACCTGGACGAGCAGAACGTGGAAAAAGCCTCGGAAGAAGCCGGACCTCTCCCGTACTGCTCCGTCGATATCCCCATGGATGACGAAAACCCTCGCGACAGCATCAACGCCGACGTTTTCTACGATTTCGCCGACACTGGTTACGTTACACCTGCACGGGTCAACACCGACGAAGCAGAACGCATAGGACCAAACTTCTTACCGGACCCAGAGGACGGTGACGAAGCAGCTTATCCCGAGGACACCACACTCCCCCGCTACACACAGAGTGGACTCCAAATCCTTGGACTCGTCACCGCAGTCCACGGCACCGCCATTCCTAAGGAGCCTGCGACGGTTCAACAGGCTCTGGGGGGGAGCACAGGGAAAAATGGCGCGAAGCCATGGACAGGGAGCTGAAAGCATTAGAAGAGCGCAACACGTGGAAAGTCGTCCCCATTAGCGCAGTACGGAACAAGACCATCCTCACCGGAAAATGGGTTTTCCGCGTGAAATTAAAAGCGGATGGCACCATCGAGAAGTTCAAAGCACGATGGGTCGTGCGCGGCTTCGACCAAGAGCACGGACGCGACTTCACCGAAACATTCGCACCTGTCAGTCGACACACCTCACTGCGAATTCTCCTCGCAATCGCCGCCATGAAGAAAAAGAAGCTAAGACAAATCGATGTTGCGAACGCCTTTCTCTACGCACCTGTCGACGCAGAGATTTTTGTGGAGCTACCACACGGCTCCAGCACGGACTCCACACACGTCTGCCAGCTGCTCAAGTCGCTCTACGGCATCAAACAGGCTCCGCGACTGTGGCAACAGTATCTACACGCTCACCTCGTCCGCATCGGCTTCAAACAACTGCCGCACGATCAGGGCATGTACCGACTTACAAAGAACACCGACTACATTCTACTAATCGTCTATGTAGACGACCTCCTCTACATCGGCTCGTCCGACGGCATCACCACTTGGTTCGAAGGGGAGCTGCAACGAGACCTCACACTCACTGTCTCGTCTACCGTCACTCAGTATCTCGGTCTCAATATCCGAGAAGAAGAAACTGCAATCTACCTCAGCGCGGAAAAGTACGCCGACACTATCGCCAAGCGTTTCGCCTTCACACCGACCGCGATCTCCACGCCATACCGTTACACGACAGGAACTGACAAGGGAGGACCTACTCTACTAAAGCCCGCCGGCATACGCGACTACCAGAGAAAGCTGGGCTGTCTTCTCTTCGCAGCTGTCACCTGCCGCCCCGACCTCTCATACTCCGCAAGCCAGCTCGCTACCTACCTCAAAAGGCCTGAAGCAGAACACCTGGCGGAGCTCGACCGCGCTCTTCACTACTTCGTCAGCACTCCAACGATCGGCCTAACGTATCACAAGAACGCAACTACACCGACTAAGCTAATCGGTTATGTCGATGCCGATCACGCCGGCGATTCCGACAATAGGCGCTCACGCACCGGCTACATCTACCGCCTCGAGCCTATCGGTCCTATCTCCTGGCAGTCGAGTAAGCAGGAACTAATCGCCCTCTCATCAGCTGAAGCGGAATATATCGCACTCTGCTCAGCCACCAAGGAAGGACTTTACCTTCGCGAGCTACTGGAAGAAGCGAAGTTAGCCGAGTTACCTAACTTCACCCTATTCTGCGACAACCAATCTGCAATTCGCATCGCCAACAAAAATGGATTCGCGAACAGAACGAAACATATCGCCCTGCGATATTTCTTCGTAAAAGACGAGATCGAGAAGGGGAGACTTGAACTATCCTACTGTCCCACGTCCGAGATGGCAGCTGACTACTTGACCAAGAAGCTCGGAAAGCAGAAGTTCGAGTACTGCATGCTGCTGACTGGACAGGGCCACGTCATCAGCAGCGACACTCCAGAAGCGAAGGGGAGTGTTGGAAACAGTAAATCTTAAAGCGCCTCTGTCGTGTCGAAACATCGCACCAGAAGCGAAGCGAACTATATTGAGGCACACGCGAGTCAACCCTCGGAGGTTGAAAGAGGTTGCTGGAGGTTACGCGAAAGTCAAAGGTCAGCGACCTTTGACCTGACAAGTACAGCGCGACAGCAAGGACACACAACTGACTCGCTACAGAGCAGTTGCCCGAGTCGTCACTGTATCGAACCGCAACAGCAACAGTAAAGTAGTTATAACTGTATCCTTTTCATATTCCTTGTACTCATATATAATGCTTGTATCCCTTTGCTTTAATTAACTTACTTTGCCCTCACACACTAGCGCAAGGTGGTTCACAACTTCTTCATTAAACGCTTCCGCTATTACAATAGTCCTACCCCGAATTTACCCCTGCAAAAGATCCTAAGGGCTTTTTCTCAGCCCAACAGGAGGAAGCACTAAAAAAACCCCTTTCAGAGTTAACATGTTAATTGGAGGGCCTATAACATACGTCGGTGAAACTGCTAGTGTACACATCCATTTGGTGTGAATGGTTGCATCTACTGTCACGAGCCTTGAACCCTATCCAGGACCGCTGCCCGACCAGCAAAGAAGCCATTTGTGTAGGCAGCATTCTTGAACATAACCTGCAAACGAAACAGAATTACAAGTGGATTCCACAAACCATACATGGTGTACATAACACTTGCATACAGCCGTGGGAGGAAGAAAAATGCAGTACACTAGATATACAATCCATACCCGCCTGGCCAATGCTACCATACGGCTATTAGATGGAAAGCGGAAAACGATTACAGCCCATACCAGAGTGTGCTGAAGATTCAAAGCAAGTTCCTCATTGGCTTTGCTGGCACTAGAGGTTTGATCCCCAGTCGCCGAGTCACCACCGCATTTCTGCAGTTTGGGGAACGTGAACGCCAAACAAGTGTGGTTAATGGACACAAACATGAAGCATGCTGGGAGAAGGGTGGGTATGTGCATGTTCAGAGCGGGTAGGCTTTTGAGTCGACTCAAAAGTCACCTCGTTTTAACGGACACAAACATGAAGCATGGTGGGAGAAGGGTGGGTATGTGCATGTTTAGAGTGGGTAGGCAGGTGGGGGAAGACTGAAGGGATGGGTGAGATCGGGTGATAAGACAGACACAAAAGAGGGGGGAACCGAACAAGAGCAAAAAAGGGAAGCTCATGCTAAGGGGTCGGTGACGCAGGGAGGTGTGATGGGAAATGGGAGGGAGAGCACAGGCCGGGATGTAGCTATCCTCATGTGCTCTTTCAGCATGTCAATGATCTAGTTTTGAGGCGCCTCAAAACTATACTGTGTCAGCATGTCAAAGATAGCCACGTGAAATTAAAGTGTTTTTGAGACATCTCAAAACCACTTTAATTTCACGATGTAGCTACCCTCATGTACTCTGTCAGCATGTCAAAGATCTGCATGATGCGGATGAGGAAAGGGATGGTGAGAGAAGGAAGAGGGAAGGAAGCGAGAGGGAAGAGAGGGAAGAGAGAAGGATGACATGTGGGATGGTTGGAAGTGAGCCAAATCACCTTCATGTGCTCTGTCAGCATGTCCAAGATCCGCGTCGTACATGTTGCCACGTCATCGCCTGGTGGCCCCTTTGGTACGGCAGCTGCTGTCTTCTTCTGAGAAGCTGCAGAGGCCCAAACCAAAGCCATGGAACATCCATGCAAGTAGTACCAGCATTAGAAATGGTGCTGGTGGTACCGCTGGTAGTGCTGGTAGCAGCACTTGTAAGCGCAGAAGCAAGCAGGACCTGCTGCCGCGGCAGCAGTGGAAGGGGCAGGGAGAAGAGCCACACATCCACCCAGCCACCCACCCACCCACCCACCCCACACACACCTACCCACCCACCCACCCACCCACCACCGACCGACCGACCGACCGACCGACCGACCAACCCACCCACCCACCTGACTTTCCCTTCCCTGCTGCAGCAGCACCGGCCTTGGGCGCATTGCTAGCACTGGTACTGCTGGTACCTCTGGTAATGGTGGGAGCAGCATTCGTAGGTGCAGAGGCAGAATCGGCTGCTGCGGCAGCAGTGGAAGCGGCGGGGAGATGAGCGGCAAGGTCGGGCGGTTGATCCTTGCCCACCACCACATTGGCCTAGAAATAAGGGAGGGGTTACAGTCACAATGGGAGGGGTTACAGTCACAATGGGAGGGGTTACAGTCACAATGGGAGAGAAGCACAAGTTTTGAGACGTCTCAGAAGTCTGCTGCTGCAGCAACAGTGGGAGTGGTGGGGAGAAGAGCGGCAAGGTCGGGCGGTTGATCCTTGCCCACCACCACATTGGCCTAGAAATAAGGGAGGGGTTAGAGTCACAATGGGAGGGGTTACAGTCACAATGGGAGAGAAGCACAAGTCTTGAGACTTTTCAGAAGTCTGCTGCTGCAGCAACAGTGGGAGTGGTGGGGAGAAGAGAAGAGCGGCAAGGTCGGGCGGTTGATCCTTGCCCACCACCACATTGGCCTAGAAATAAGGGAGGGGTTAGGGTCACAATGGGAGGGGTTACAGTCACAATGGGAGAGAAGCACAAGTCTTGAGACTTTTCAGAAGTCTGCTGCTGCAGCAACAGTGGGAGTGGTGGGGAGAAGAGAAGAGCGGCAAGGTCGGGCGGTTGATCCTTGCCCACCACCACATTGGCCTAGAAATAAGGGAGGGGTTACAGTCACAATGGGAAGAAGCACAAGTTTTGAGACGTCTCAGAAGTCTGCTGCTGCAGCAACAGTGGGAGTGGTGGGGAGAAGAGCTGCAAGGTCGGGCGGTTGATCCTTGCCCACCACCACGTTGGCCTGAGAGCGGAAAGGCACAAGCGTTATAATCATAGTAGGAGAGAGGCACAGGGTTTTGGGACGTTTCAAATGCATGCTGCTGCGGCCGCAGCGGACAATGCGGGGAGGAGGGCAGCAAGGTTGGATGGTTAATCCTTGCCCCCCACCACGTTGCTTATGGGAATTCTCAAAGGTAACTCCCACCACCATGTTGGCCTGCAAGGCGAGGTGCAGGGGTTACAGTAAGAGTGTTGCACGCGTTTTGAGAAGTCCCAAGCGTCAGCTGCTGCTGTAGAAGAAGGCAATGCAGGGGGGAGGGCGGGGAGGAGGGCGGGGAGGAGGGCGAAGATGTCGGGCGGTTGATCCTTGCCCACCACCGCGTTGGCCTGCAAGGCAAGGAGGTGTTACGACGATCACAATAGGAGGGCAACTGTGGGGGTAACCATACCAGGGGAGACAAGCGGGGAGAAATGATACCGACTGCAGCTAACGAATGCAGTACACACATTTGTTCCTCACATTGTGCATCTGCACACGTAAGCATACCAGGGCCCAGGACGGACACCAGAGGCTTGCACGCCTGTAAATCTCGAAACCATTTTTTGGCAGTAACAAAACAGCATCCATGCACACAACACAGGCATACCTCAAGGTCCACGTAAGCAGGCTCAGAGCGGCCAACAGAGACGTCACTGAACTTGGGAACATCGTTTGAGGCATATCAAAACAGCATGCATGCACACAGGCATACCTCAAGGTCCACGTAAGCGGGCTCAGAGCGGCCAACAGAGCCAAGAAAAGAGTCAAACGCCTCTCGGGTCAACGCTGTGAATATGGGGGCGAGGGATGCGGAGGCAGAGAGAGGGATAGTCTTGGAGGAGTAGAAAAGGGGGCTGGAAAGGGCAGCAATAAGGTGACTTTCGAGTCGACTCAAAAGAGAGGGGGATAGTCTTGGAGGAGTAGAAAAGGGGGCTGGAAAGGGCAGCAATGAGGTGACTTTCGAGTCGACTAAAAAGAGAGGGGGATAGTCTTGGAGGAGTAGAAAAGGGGGCTGGAAAGGGCAGCAATAAGGTGACTTTCGAGTTGACTCAAAAGAGAGGGGGATAGTCTTGGAGGAGTAGAAAAGGGGGCTGGAAAGGGCAGCAATAAGGTGACTTTCGAGTCGACTCAAAAGAGAGGGGGATAGTCTTGGAGGAGTAGAAAAGGGGGCTGGAAAGGGCAGCAATAAGGTGACTTTCGAGTCAACTCAAAAGAGAGGGGGATAGTCTTGGAGGAGTAGAAAAGGGGGCTGGAAAGGGCAGCAATAAGGTGACTTTCGAGTCGACTCAAAAGAGAGGGGGATAGTCTTGGAGGAGTAGAAAAGGGGGCTGGAAAGGGCAGCAATAAGGTGACTTACGAGTCGACTCAAAAGAGAGGGGGGGATAGTCTTGGAGGAGTAGAAAAGGGGGCTGGAACGGGCAGCAATAAGGTGACTTTCGAGTCGACTCAAAAGAGAGGGGGATAGTCTTGGAGGAGTAGAAAAGGGGGCTGGAACGGGCAGCAATGAGACATGCCAAAAACGGCAACGCCAATAAGACATGCCAAAAACAGCAATAAGAAATGCCAAAATTGGCGATGTCTGACTGGGAATTGATTAGAGCATTCAAGCAGCGGCAATTTATTTTCCACGCAAAACAAAATTCTTTTTATTCGCTTGTATGAGGTGTGGGTTCAAACTGCCAGTCACTGACTGCCAGCGGCATCTTACCAACAGTTGCATCGTTGGAAAGTGGGTGGAAGAGCAGATGTGGTTGCGAGGTGAAACCTTGGTCCAGCAACAGCACTACGTCTCTGAATCCCACCACATGGGAAGGTAGTGCATGGCAGGATGGGTGAGGAAGAGAGGGAGGATGAATGGATGGGATCCAGCAGCAGCACTACGTCTCTGAATCCCACCACACGGGAAGGCAGTGCATGGCAGGAATAATGTGGGGATGAATGTAAGAGGAACGTGGGAGGTTCCGGGGGAAAGGAGAAGCACTGACTGCATGAGAAGCCTTGGACCAGCAGCAGCACATCGTCTCAGAATAACATGACACAAGAGGGCAAGGAAGAAGGGGTGGGTGGGGAAGGGAAGGTTGTAGGTAGAAAAACAGAGTCGACTCAAAAGTCAGCTCGAAGGTAGTGCATGGCAGGAATAACGTGGGGATGAATTGACTTTTGAGTCGACTCAAAAGTCAGCTCGAAGGTAGTGCATGGCAGGAATAATGTGGGGATGAATGTAAGAGGAACGTGGGAGGTTCCGGGGGAAAGGAGAAGCACTGACTGCATGAGAAGCCTTGGACCAGCAGCAGCACATCGTCTCAGAATAACATGACACAAGAGGGCAAGGAAGGAGGGGTGGGTGGGGAAGAGAAGGTTGTAGGTAGAAAAACAGAGGCCTGGGTGTGGTCCACCCTACCCTGGTCTGGTAACCAACTAATCAGCGCAAACCACTTGGCAGAGTCATTGAAAAGAACCAGGGGAGTGACGCAGCCAGCAGGCACCTGCCGTCTCGTCGAAATTCTGCCGTCACCTACCTGGTCTGGTCTAGCCTGGTCTGGCGACCAGCCTGGCCTGATCCAGCCTGGTCCGGTCCTACCTGGTCTGGTGACCAGACGTCCTACAAGTTACAATGCAAGTGCTCAGCTCACTTTTGAGAATTCTCAAAAGTGATTTCCTACCTGGTCTGGTGACCAAACATCCTACAAGTTACAATACAAGTGCTCAGCTCACTTGGCAGAGTCGTTGAACAGAGCCAGCGGGGTGACACAGCCAGCAGGCACCTGCAGCACCGCAGCCAAATTCTCGTCCGGTGCCATGCGCAATCCTCCCTTTCCCAGTCCCAGCCTCTGCGACAGCACTGGAAGGAAGAAAGGGAGGGAGGGAGGAACCAAGTACCAGTCTCTGCACCTGCAGCATCGCAGCCAAATACTCGTCTGATGCCATGCGCAATCCTTCCTTGCCCAGTCCCAGCCTCTGCGACAGCACTGGAAAGAAGAAAGGGAGGGAGGGAGGAAGGGAGAGGGAGAGAGGAACCAAGCACCAGTCCGTGCACCTGCAGCACCGCAGCCAAATTCTCGTCCGGTGCCATGCGCAATCCTCCTCCATTGCCAAGTCCCAGCCTCTGTGACTGCACTGCAAGGGATAAACCACGAACAGATGAAGGTGATAGTGAAGTTGAAACAAAACAATAATGAGATGAACTTTTGACGACACCAAAGAGGGGTACACGACACGGTATGTGTGGGTTACGTGAGGAGCAATGATGAAGCATCCCTTACACTTGAGATCAATCTTGGTCTTGGTGAGTGCAGAGATGAGAATCAGCCGACCCTTCTTGTCCTGCCAGCACCGCCTCCCCCCCCCCCCCCCCCCCCCCCACACACACACACAAACACACACGCACACACGCATTAGGGGAGAAACAGGGATCCACAACGCGTTCAAAAACGGACTCAGGAAATGCACTCAGATGACAGTGCCGAATCCGGTGCAAAGAGTGTTTTTGAGAATTCTCAAAAACACCCTACTGCACCATGACGGTGCCAAATATGGTGCGAGCACGAGGATTGAGAAAATGATCATAGACCAGGTGAGAAAGCAGAGCTATGATAAACTCAAGAGGGGGATGAAATAGAAATACATGGTACCTTAAGAAGGTGGTTCTGGGTAAACTCCCCTGTAGGTTTTATCAGACACCTCAAAAGAGGGGAGTAAGCGTAGCCATGATGAACTCAAGAGGGTAGTAACAGAGAAAAACATCTTACCTTAAGAAGAAGGCTCTTGGTGAACTCCCCTGTAGCTCCTTTCACCTGTGCACAGTCACGATTAACTTACGAGGGTTAAAGAGAAATCCATCTAACCTTAAGAAGAAGGTTTTTGGTGAACTCCCCTGTAGCTCCTTTCACTTGTGCAGCCTGCTCCTCTACTGTCAGCACTGCCGGATGCGAATAGAGTTGGTAGGTGATACCGAGCTCCTGCAAAGAAAGAGAAAGCAACAAAGCAAACAGCTTATGAATCGACTCAAGAGTCTCCCCTGTAGCTCCTGTCACTTGTGCAGCCTGCTCCTCTACTGTCAGCACCGGTGGATGCGAGTAGAGTTGGTAGGTGATACCGAGCACCTGCCAGCCACGTGGGAAGAAACAAAGCAAATCAAACTCAATCAAATGAAACCGAATTTACTGTAATAAAGTGAAACCGAATTTACTTTTAACAAAGCGAATGTGATGGAGTTGCCAGGTTTTGATTCGGTCCCTGCCAGCCACGTGGGAGGCGACAAACTCTGATCAATGAACCCAAAGGGCGCGTCCAACTGAAGAGCTGTCGGGAACTTCAATAACCGTCAATAATGTCGTAAGGGGGGAGTTGAACGCTTTATACGGCAATATACGATATTATGACAAAGCTTTGTTGACGACAATGCTGATCATGATACTGGCCACCATAGAGCTCATTGTCTCAAGACTGTCTCGATCCTCGAGATAGTAGCGCTTACGGTGAATTGTTTGAGGAGAGCGTCCTGCTTCGCGTGAGCGGCTTCTAGGGACACCATGTTGCTCGTGCGGAACACTGGCGACGACGAGCCGAATTTGTGTCAACGAAATGCACAACGGCGAAGGAATTGCTGACGCACGCTGACTGACAAGCCGGGCGTCAAACCCAACCTTACCGGTCGAGCCGCTGACCGGATAGTTCTATAGAGTGGAACTAAATCAGGATGAAATTTGGTTTTTGACTGAAGGCCAGGTGGTTCAGGGAAGAAGAATTTTGTTCATCGGACATCCGCAATACGGGCCAATGATTGTAATGACTCCATAAAACAATCAGTTTCGGATGATTGCTTACTCTACTGCAAAAATCATACACCACAAAATTCCTTCAAACTAGCTTGTCTGGTACTAGCATGTAAAAATAACGTTTTAGCTTTGGTAAGAAATGGAGTAGGAGCCAGTTTTAGGGTCCTTGACAGCCTTGAAGTTGTCGACACTCATTCCAAAGTGCCCCAAGACGGAGTTCCCAAGATCCTTCAATTTTGCTGAATCACAATCACACCACGGCAGTAACCATCAAATAAAACCGCGCTTGAATCACTCTGTAAAATATGAATTGTATGAAACAGACGAAGTGAAAATAAACAAGAAATATCCAGAGAAAAAAACAAAGCACTTACCCAGCATTTCCTCTTTGAGCTGTTCCCTCCTCTCTTCCACAATGGGCTCCAGCCTCCTGGCAGATAATCTAGCTTGAGCATCGGCGCTGTCCAGCTCCAGCACTTTCTTCAAGTCTGGGGTGGGACGGGGGTGGTAGCAATGGTGGTGGTAGGATAGTGCGATGCTTTGGCTTGAGCGTTGGAACTGTCCAGCTCCAGCACTTTCTTCAAATCTGGAGCGTGTGATGGTAGTGATAGGCGGTGGTAGCATAGTGGAAAGGGGGAAGACAAAGCACAGCATGACATTCATACGTGTGCGAACTAACACCCATTCTAACAAAAAAAAAAAAAAAAAAACTCCAAAAATTCTGTTTCTCACCTCCCAGCGCCTCTTCAAGCTTGTCCAGCTTCTCCCAAGCATGCGCCCGTCGCATGATTGCTTTCACATAGTCCGGCTTCAGATCAATGGCTGCTGTGCTCTCCGTCACACACGCATCGTAATCTTTCTGCAAAAAACAACACAGAGTGGAGAAGAGAGTGGGGAGAGGAGGGGAAGACAAGCTTTAGTGATGGATGTAAGACTCCTCTCTCCAACTGCACGTGACGCCTAGAAAATCCTCAAAAGCATGGCGGAAATTTCTCAGAAGCGTGGTTCTCCCACCAGCTGCAGGTGGCACATGGCTCTATTGGCGTGGTAAATTGCTCGCGCCTCCTTCGCCTCTGCATGCTCCGCCCCAGGCGCAGCTGCCAGAGCGTTGCTGTAACTTTCCAGAGCTGCGTTATAGTCACCCCGCTTGTACTCCTCGTTACCCCTCGCTTTAATCGCCTCCGCCTCCGCCAAGGCTTTCTGAATGGCCGCGTCGCCACGAAAGCATTCGGAAAACAAGAGCCGGTGGCGGAGGGGGGACGGAGGGGGGAGGGGGGGGGGGGGGGGGGGGGGGGGGGGGGGAAAGGGGAATTTAGAGGTGACTAGCACAATATACGATGTGATTACAAAAGAAACGTCTGCTTCACTACTGTCCCTGAAATGCCTTACTATTCAACACAGGCCCGCTTTGTGAAACTCCTTCCTCTCAACGCATCCTCGAACACCCCTTCCCCTTTCCCTTAGCCCCTTCACCTTTCTTTTTCCCCCTTTCCGCTCACCTTGCGCAGCTCCTCTTCTGTCAGCGCATCCTCAAACACCTCTTCCGCCTCATCACCCGCTACCGCGTCTCCGCCAGCCCCCGTCGCCAAGTCGCTGAGCGCGTCTTTGAATCCACCCTGGTCCCCAGGCTGGTCCTCCCCTCCCCGTTCCGCCTCCCCTTCCCCCACGGAGTCCTTCCCCCCACCCTTCACTCCTTCCCGCACAGTCTCCCCTTCCCCCTCCGACTCCCCTCTCCCTTCCTTCGCCCCTTCTCCCGCTTTGCCGCCTTCCTGCCCCGAATCACTCCCCGCAGCGCCGTTTTTACTGGCCTCGAAATCCGCAGTCGAGGATCGTCGCCCATCACTCCCTAGATCCGACGGTTCTCCGCCAACCTTGGCTCCGTCAGACCCACTTACTGATCTTGATCCGACGGCTCCTGCGTCCCCACGGGAGACACTGGCTGTTGATGTGGAACTGGTACTCTGAGCAGCTGTATTTTCAAGCTTCGTATTTTCGACACGTGTATCCTCTATCTCCTCAATTTCAACCATCCTGCAAATAATCTAGAAACTTAATCGATCACGAAATAATCCTGCGAAAAATCCTAAGTTCGCTCACTCTGCTAAGAGAAAAACTTAGCTCCCAATTCCCGAATTCCCAACGACGATTCCCGTCCCGGGAATTTACTCTGGCAGGAGCGATCAACGAGACCTTTGACGCAACTACTGGGATTTTGCGCACGCTGAAGAGGAGACAACGACCAGGAGTGACGGAGTGACTTCTGGGAGGCCCCAAACACCTCCCACATACTCAATACACACAAACCCTTTATACGCCCCACAAAGCCAGAATGTTCGATTTTCGTCGGCATCCGAAGGTTCGCAGATTTCGCAATCCCTTAGGTGGTTCCTCCACTTCCGCGTTACATAGACCACTGTAATAATACAAGACATGTAAGCTTTAGGAGAGTTGGGTATTGAGAAGTTGTATACTCCTCCAACTATGTACATGAGTGTTATCTAAAAAATCTAGTGTGAAAATTTGTACAAGAGGCTACAAGCATGCAGCCAGATTTTGATGCCTCACAGCATCCCTACAGCTTGCAGCGTCCTAAAAATAAAGCAAATGGATTTGTGGTGGAACACGTGAGCGACAACCATGGAACACTTTACATCAGCTTCATCTATCAAGCTGTTCATGTCGCCCTCTTCAAGGCGCCTAAAAACCAAACCATTCTTCCAGCTAGTAGAGGTCGTTCCATTGGTGACATTTTCCCTTTCAATGAACCGCACGGGAACCTCCGGGATATGGTGCCACCATTCCCGCAGCCCCCTCCTTCGAGGCGCCTCAAAAACGTGTACCACATCTTTGATCTCTCTGGAATGCCACCTCTCGTGTGAACACATCGCCTAACACCAGCAGCACCACAACCCGAACGGGGAGAATGGCGAGAAGGATGGCTAGTAGAAGTCGGCATCGTTCTCCCTCTCAATAAACCGCACTGGAACCACTGGGATATGATGCCACCACTCCCGTAGCCTCCTTACAAGCCGTCGCGTCTGGTCTCTTCTAAACTCCATTTCTCGTGTGAACACGTCACCTAAAACCAGCAGCACGACGACTCGCACCGGCAGAATGGCGAGCAGGATGGCGAGGACTATGTGGACGGCGATCAGCTCGTCTGTAGCTGTTGGGAGCTCGGAGAGGGCTAGAGCTCGTGCTTTGAGGAGTGCTATGTTGAGTGCTTGGATGGCGGCTTCCACCTGTAGGCAACATGGAGAAAAAAAAAGAAAGGATAAACTACATAAGAAGATGCGACGGGGATGGCTGAGATCATGTGCAGGGCACTGACCCCGCTTGTCTGTGGCCTGGGGAGCTCAGAGAGGGTTAAGGCTCATGCTGTAAGGAGTGCGATGTTGACTGTTTGGATGTTTGCCTCCACCCACCCGTAGGGACAGCTGAGTGCGAGAAAGTGGGACGAGAGGAAAAGAGGATACTACTATGACTATTAAAGGTTACTACTATGACTGCAAGGAGGATGGCTATGGCGATAGGCTCGTCCATGGCCGTGTGAGGAGTTTGCCAGCATAGCAGATGTCTCACCTGAAAGCAACAGAGACCTCACCTGAGCCAGGGCAGCCTGCAGCACAACCAGCTGCTCCACAGCGCTCTGATTGGGCGGCGTGATCACCACTACCTCGTTTCTCCGGTTCGGCGGGCGGCGTCTGTCGGACTGTTGCACGAAGCGGAGCCACATCATGATGACCGCGTTCGTCAGGAGGAGGAACGGGATGACGTACCCGAGCCAGTCCCTGAGGTTCGGATGACAACAGATGGAAGGGAGTGTGAGCAATAAGCAAATCCAGGCGACTCATACGAAAACAGCAGCTTTTTTTTTTTTTGAGGGGGGGAGTGTGGGGAGGGGGGAGGGGGGGAGGGGAGGGGGCGCAGAGCTTGCAACCTTGGTTGGGTGATGCACACGGATTGCAATGTGGAAAACAGCAGAGCGTTTACAGTAAGTCTTACTTGTAGATGATGTAAAGTGCGAAGGCTAGAAAGACCATGGTCTTGATAGGCTCCTCCCACGAGGCTAAGGACTGGAACCATTGGCCTAGCAGCATCACTGGCACTAGCAGCTCCTGTGGTGGGGAGGGAGGAGGGGAAAGGAGAGGGAGATGGGCACATAACGTTTTAAGCCATGAGGCTAACGACTGGAACCATTGGCCTCGCAGCGTCGCTGGCACTAGCAGCTCCTGTGGTGGGGAGGGAGGACAAGAAAGGAGTGACAACGAGGGGCGTGTTAAATAAAAGCGGCAACACAAACACTCCCATGAGGCTAACGACTGGAACCATTGGCCTCGCAGCATCGCTGGCACAAGCACCATAGAAGCATACTCTCGCTTTCCTTCACACACACACCCTACCTTCATGAGAGCCACGTTCGTCCCAATGCCCTCCACCTTCACTTCCTCCACCGATCACTTCGCCTTGGCCACCTTACTCCATCATAATGCTTCCATACGCCATAAAAGCATACCCTCATTTAGCAAAGGCCATACCTTCATGAGAGCCACGTTTGTCCCGATGCCTTCCACCTTCACTTCCTCCACCGATCGCTTCGCCTTGGCCACTTTACTCGACTTGTCTCTCGAGTTCTTAACCGCCCGTTCAAGAGCCGTCATCTCCCCTACAAGCACATCCCCTACAGGCATAGACGGGCCTGCACCCACTCCCAATGCTCCTGCCCCTCCTCCGCCCATTAGTCCTGCTGTGCCGGGGAGAAATGCGGCAACTGCTGCTGCTGCTGCACTGCCCCCTTGCTGCCATCTGCTTCCTGTTGCTGGTGTTCAGTGCTGCTCCTGCTGCTGCTGCTCCTCCTGCTTCCCCTGCTGCGCCTGCTGTTCCCCCCGTACCTCCTGCTACTGCTGCCCCACCATCCTCCTCTCCCCCGCCCCCTCCAACTCTCGCTCCACCCCCCCCTCCCCCACCTCCGCCTCCTCCCCCTCCACCCCCAAACCCTGCATTTCTCACAGCTGCAGCAGCAAACTCCCCAAGTTTTTCCAGCTGCTCCCGTTCTTTTTTCGGGCTGCCCGAATCCGCCTTCAGCACGCCCGCCATAGCCCGCAAGATTTTATCCCCGCCTGGGAGCTCGTCTGCTGCAATGAAAGTTAGGAGGCTCTCAGGGGCGGTAGGGAGGGCTTTTTGTAAGCTCCACACGGCTTTAAGTCGCGCTATACCCCTCACGGCTTTCGCTATAGCCTGCCTGCGAGCCGGACCTTCTAGCTTGTAGGTCCGGACAAAGGAATGGACGGCTATGATCTCACGGATGATGGACAGCCAGTAGTCTCTTCGCATGTGTGCAGTCAACTCTGGAAACTCTAGGACCACAGGCTCCGATCTGCAAAGGCGACAGCAGTAGCATCGGTGGGATGGGTGGGAAGGGTCGGACGAGGAAAAGCAAACGGGTGAATTTAGTGAAGCTGGGAGCAAACGTAAACTCCAGAACCATGGTGCAAGCGTCAAGCGTTTCGCAAAAACAAACTCCACTGCTGCACACACAGTCCTGACCGCAGTCTAGGGCTCGGAGTAGGGTTCAAAAGTTCAATACTCAACGTTCAGAGGTTGCGGGTTTTAGTGTTGACTCACATGGCGTGGGATTTGTACATGATGGCCTTGTCAAAGAGCTTCGCCCCCCACGGGCCAGTGAGGTCCGGCTTGACTGTTCAATGGAGGTCTGATCAAACTTCTTTGCTGCACACACGGTTCTCTGACCACTCTCTCTAGAGCTCGGAGTCTCGGGTTTCGAGGTTCAAAGGTTCAGATGGTTGACTCACATGGCGTGGGATTTGTACATGATGGCTTTGTCAAAGAGCTTCGCTCCCCATGGGCCTGTGAGGTCCGGCTTGACCGTCTGGTGGAGGTCCGCTGCCAGATCAAACTTCTTTGCTGCGTCGTATGAGACGACACCGCTGGGCTCAAAATATAGGGCGCAATCTGTAAGGGTCAGGCGACCTGATTGGCAGAGAAGACGATTGCAGAAGGGAGGGAAGGGATGGGGTAGGGTGGTGGGGCTTTTTAGTCGACTCAGAAAACGACTTATCGCAATCCGTGAGAGTCAGGCGACCTGATTGGCAAAGAAGACGATTGCAGAAGGGAGGGAAGTGATGGGGTGGTGGGGTGGGATGGGGTGGGGTGGGATGGGGTGGGGTGGGGTGGGGAGGAGCAATCTGGTGAGGTCAGACTTCTTTGGTGCGTCGGAGTACGAGATGGCCATGGTAGGCTTGAATCACACCATGCAACCAATGGAACCAGGTCGGCTAGGTTGGCAAATGAAGTGCGTACATGGCCAGGCACTGACGCCTATGTGCTGTAGCACTGGTTGTGACACCCCCCCATGCATCCTTATCACTGCTCCCTCGCCCCTACAATCCCCAAGACCCAATTAAACCCTAAAGGCTACACCCAGCTGTCAAACCCTACAACCTAAACCCCAAGGGTGAATGGAGGTCGCACCTGGCCAGGCACTGACGCCTATGTGCTGCAGCACCGGCTGCGTTGCCTGCCCGTCCGTCTCAATCACTGCCTCCTCGCCCCTCACTATTCCTAGAGCTGAGGCCAACGCCCCTGTGGTGGAGTTCTTTATTGTCTTCACCGTTCTGTTACGGGTGGAAGGGGAAGGAGGGGAGGGGAGATGCGCTTACAACCTATTGGTGACCATTTGTCTCTTCGTCTCTGATCAGAGAGTGGCATCACCCACACTCACTGCGTTGCCTGCCCACCACCACGTTTGGTCCAGGGAAGTTTGCCACGGCTGGATAGCTCACTCCTCATTGTCTGACGACTCTCCCTTTAAGGCGCCTTGAAAACAGACTGGCTTGCTGCGTGAGGCTGGATAGCTCACTTCTCTATGTCTGACAACTCTCTCTTTTTAAGGCGCCTCGAAAACAGACTGGCTTGCTGCGGGAGGCTGGATAGCTCACTTCTCTATGTCTGACAACTCTCTCTATTTGCGGCGCCTCGAAAACAGACTGGCTTGCTGCACGCGGCTGGATAGCTCACTTCTCAATGTCTGATGACTCTCGCTCCTTCAAACTTAGTTGTTGCATAGCTCAGTTTGCTCACTTTTCGAGCTCGCTGAGGTAGTTGTTGTAGATGGCGAAGGGAAGGCGGCCGCCCTGGCACTCGTCGGTGAGCAGCTCAAAGAGCGCGTGCACAGTCACACTGTCCGCCTCCAGCGGGATGGCTGGGGCTAGCCGGGCGAACGCGTCCATGCACACACTGCTCTCCACGTCCATCTGAAGGAGGGAGAAGGGTGGGGAGGAAGAAGGGAGGGAGAAAAGGTGTCAGATTTTGAGGCGTCTCAAAAATTGGCTTAGGCTAGTCGGGCAGACGCGTCCATGCATGCACACACTGCTCTCCACGTCCATCTGAAGCAGGGGAGGGGAGGATGGAAAGAGGTACATGTCTTTGAAGCGCCTACAACTGGCGAGGGGCGAGCAGGGCGAACGCGTCCATGCACACACTGCTCTCCACGTCCATCTGAAGGAGGGGAGGGGAGGATGGAAAGAGGTACATGTCTTTGAAGCGCCTACAACTGGCGACGGGCGAGCAGGGCGAACGCGTCCATGCACACACTGCTCTCCACGTCCATCTGAAGGAGGGGAGGGGAGGATGGAAAGAGGTACATGTCTTTGAAGCGCCTACAACTGGCGACGGGCGAGCAGGGCGAACGCGTCCATGCACACACTGCTCTCCACGTCCATCTGAAGGAGGGGAGAGGAGAGGAGGGGAGAGGGAAGGAGGGAGGTGTCTGTTTCTGAGGCGCCTCAAAAACTGGCTGGGGCAAGCCGGGCGAACGCGTCCATGCACACACTGCTCTCCACGTCCATCTGAAGGAGGGGGGACAGAGGGGAGGAGTGGTATTCGGGAGAGAGGTAGAGGGAGAAAGGTGGACGGGGACTGGTGAGGAAGGTAGCAGAAGGCCGCATGTAGAAGCCCTTGGTGTTCACAACAACAGAAACAGGTGGGCAGCACGAGTAAATTTACACAGAAGTGAACTAAACTCTTTACCTGCTCATCACATCCCCCTTTACACCCCTCTACGCACGCCAAGACTAAAAACCTAATACTACCTGTCCAGGCGGCTAATTGGCTGTTCCTGCAACCTCTCACGCGAGCATCATGGTCCACCAAACACCAGCAGCTCTCACAGGCCCACCAGAGACAGGAATTTCCAGAGGAAAAACGCTGGTCCCTACAACATTCGAACCTGAACCATACCCTACCTGTCCCGTGGGCTGATTCGACGCTCCCGGCGCCTCCCACGCGAGCATCATGTCGAACGTCCACCGCCGGAAGTCTTTGTCCTTGAGATGCTCCGTCACCTGCGTCGCCACGGCCAGCGCGCGGAAGCAGCAGTACTCGAGGAAGTTTCGCGCGTACCGCGCGGGCTCTCGCGCGCTCGCGGGCGCCTCCTCCTCGAAATTGGCTTTTAGCTCCTCCGGTTTGAGCATTAGGACCCTGAAAGGGAAAAAACGAGGGTGTGATGTAAGACGGACGTTATCACATAAATCACATAATACAGTAGTCCGGGTTGACGATGCTTACTAGGTTAAGGTTGGAAAACGCTTGGGTAAAGAGCAGCAGCGACAAGTGAACGGCTCAAAACCGCGGAACTTGAATGACGCTGGAAACCCTACGGAACTAAAAAAAAGTAGCATGCAGCGGGTTTCTACAAGTTTCACGGTGCATACCTCGCACATCGGCCAACAACCACGTTAGCCATTGACGAGAGCTCCTTAATCCACTTCCCGCCAGCGCGCTCCTGCGTACTTAAACTAGCGCTCAGCTGCCCTGCGCCGCCGGTAGCAGCAGCTCCATCTCTAGGACTGCGTATAATAGTCTCCCAACCCAGAAGCTCAGATTCGCTCATGTAACCTGCCATGGACGAAAAAGCGTCTGAGGAATTTCGTGGAGGGGAGGACCCAGAACCGAAGAAACCCTGACCGCCACCCCCAGATGAACCTTGTCTGGGTCCGATTCCGGCCACGCCGCTGATTCTGTCAATGACTTGCGACGCCTGCTGCTTGATGTTGGAAATGTCCTGAACGGCTTGACGAAACGCGCGATGCGGTCGCCATGGCTCTTTTTCTGGCTTCTGCGGCGTCCCGTACGGTGAAGATGGTGATCTTACGTGTTCCGAACGTAAAGGTTCGGCTTCTAAGCTCATTGCGGAGGAGGATTTCACGAGGCGAGGTTCGGTCATGGAGCCTGACGAACGCGCCGAGCCTGACGAGCGTGAAAACAAAGGTAGACAGATCCGATTCTTCGGCTCGGCTGCTTCGTCCGAGGAAAGAGCTCCAGCACAAAAGAGAAATTCGTCTGGTGGTACTACCTTGCTCGAGTTGCTACCAGCGACGCGTAGCGTTGAAGCTTTGGACTCCTTTCGTGTACGGCTGTTTTCTCTGCTAAGCCAATTGAATCGAGCTCGAAGGCGAGCTAAAGCTGAAACTAATCCATCCAGCACGGGAGCATCTGTCGGCTTGGCGGCGACGACCGCAGCAGCGCGAATCGAGGCTGGAGCAGCGTGGAGATGCACACCGTAAGATGGGAAGCTAAGACTGACAGTAGCCAGAGTGACAACGCTGGTGAAGGTATATGCTCGAGGGAGCCTTGAGTCTAGCTTTCCGGTGGTTGATTGCAGATCTATCTAGGTTGCGTACGATAATAAGTAATCTAGTACGGTGGAAGTGAAAACTGAAGTGGGCCGTGTGCCCGTCAGGCTTCTCTGATTGGCTTGGGCTTGTGACGCGATCCACTTCTGTTCATCATCGCGTAGCCTTGGGGTTGCATTTTCGAAGTGCCAGAGAGTGAATTAGCTCGCCTCGAGATTGTCGAAAGGGGGAGGTGGGCCAAACGGAACGGAAATCACGCACCTGATTGCCGTGCCCTGGAGGGTTTGGGAACCGCTCTGCCATCTGGAATCAATTGGGTTTGGTTTGGACGGTCTGTCACAAGCATTCGCGTTTTATCTGCTCACAGCCAGCCTCGGTTTGCTATGTAAGGTTTGGAATTCAAACCTGCCACCAGGTAAGGTTTGTCGAGCGAGGCATCGACGGCTCGTGATAAGTGCCGAACCTCACTGTCGCCTTCGCTAGGCGACAATACACAGCCGAGATGTGAGTCGTGCAGCGTCGATTCCGACTTACTTCGTCGTTTGATCCTTGCGGATCTTTCGCGAAACCCGATGTGCGACAAATAATTCCGAGCGCCAGAATGCATGGTGCTTGGTGCTTGCATGGCGCTTCGTCACGTCACACAGTGCGGGGTTCTAGTCAGCCATCAGGCTCCTCAGCGATGACGTGGCAAACAGAAGAATGCGTTGGGGGGAAGTTGGAGCCAGACCTGCATGTCGTTCATTGCGGTAACCCACGCTGGTTCCAGGCTCAAAAGCCTGACAAATGGGAAGTTAACTCGTTATAAAATGGTTCGCCATGAACGGGATTCCAGACTTCAGACCCTGTTATTGTCCTAAGTCTTCTGTCGCAGTGTAGTCCGCTTCCGCGTCACAAAATCCTTACCAACCGTTTTGTTGGGCACCGTTCTGCAGCGCCAACCCATTGAAGCGGCAGTTTACATGACAGAGCCTCAACAGTGAACTGATCAAATTCACATTTTCCATTTCAAGAATCAAAGAACCGTGACCGCGACGCCTCCTGTTCCTCGTACCGCGTAGCGACTACAACTACCTACTTCTCTCCACGTGAAAGCGAATTTGTTTGTCCTCGTATTTCGGTTCAAGGTTTATATTTGAAGTACCCATAGTCGAACAGCAGTCCGGTTTTGCGATTCTACAACATTTCCTCGGGTACCCATGGGACCGTTGGCTCCAGAGGAGCGATTGCTCGATGTAGACGCGTTTGTTGCGGCTTCAGCTGACCTGGTCAGCACCCCGAGTAAGCCATCTTCATCCACGCACCTAGAGAAAGATTTTTTTGAAGCGCTTTGCGAGCTTTGATTCATTCGAGAGCTTTCTCTGAATTTCCACCTTCTATTTGCGGATGGTTCGATTAAATTTCTTCATCATAGACGTGTATGAACTTATGGTGAGGGGTATGAACCGACAGTGAGCCGTATGAACTCATGATGGGTCGCATGAACTCATGATGAGTCGCATGAACTCATGATGAGTCGCATGAACTCATGGTGACTCGCATGAACTCATAGTGACACGCATGAACTCATGGCAACTCGCATGAACTCATGGTGAGTCGCATGAACTCATGGTGAGTCGCATGAACTCATGGTGAGTCGCATGAACTCATGGTGAGCCGTATAAACTCATCGTGAGCCTTATGAACTCGTGGTGGCTATTATGAGCCGTGTGAACACCAGCACAGAGTGATTATACGTGTGAAAACTGCTCCCTACCTCTGTACAAACGACATGGAGACGTCGCAGAAGTCTCCCTGTTACGTCGAGAAAGCTTGTTCTGACGTCCATCTGGAGCTTCTATTTTAGTTTTTCTTTCTTTCTTCCGTTATTCCCGTGTTTCTCAGCATCGGATGATGGGTCGGTGACTGCCTTCTTGAGCAGCTTCCCGCTGCCGCTCATTCTCAGGTACACTGCACATTCATGTACATTACATTGTGCAGCGTTCTGTTCTGTGTATTCTGCAATCCGTCCTCTACCGTTCACTGTACAGTTGAGATCGCCATATTCCGTCCACTGCAAAGCACACTGATTGCACTGCACAACTGTGCTCATGTGACTCCTAACAGCTCTTCAAGTACACAACACTACACCACACTTCACACCTGTGCTTCACAAGTTAATATCTGTAACTACTTGTTCTGTAATTTATCCTTTCATGCAACGCAAAAGTTTCAGGTTTCCAGGTACTGTATGTTTGGTCACGGCCGTCATAGAAATCATATCCTGTTTTTGCCTCTTCTCTCAACCTTTTTCAGGGCATTAGACTCAGGTTCACCATCACAGACACGTGGCATGGAGGGACTGGAGGAGGAGGGGGAGGAGGGCGAGAGGGAGAGGGGGGTATCGGAGGCATCAGAGGCAGCAATGCAGCTGCAGCAGGCAGCCGTGCAGGCTCTCTTTAGGGTTTTCAAGTCCAATGTTGTTCTTCCCGTCCTTCCAGGCCTTCTGGTGGGTAAGACGGCTCATTCATGCCATGTCCACGTCAATGTGCATGCATCATAAACCAGAATTTATGGCTCTATTTCGTGTATTCTTCCTCTGTACTTCGATGGAGGCATATGATCAAAACTCCTTTTTTTCTACTCCAATGCATAGAGCTGAGGCGCTTCAAAGCATGCTAATGCGGGCCAAATCATGTGCGTTTCCTGTGCCTCTTCTGCCATGGATATGTGCATGTGCAGCCATACGCGGAGAAAGGGATGCTCTCGCCCTCGCCAGACATGCGCCGCCTCTGCTGCTTTGCGGTGAGTTCAACACAGATCCACGCGCCTTACCATTTACTGTATTCCTCTATTGTTTGCTTGCTTCTTTGTTTTGTTTGGATTTTAGCCCAATCGGAACGCATCGTCATGCTTTCCGTACCCTCTCTACCCTTTCTCTCTTTCCCGCAGCTTCAGCGCATGGCAGAGGGGGGAGAGGAGGAGATGCAGGAGCTAGGGAGTCAGGGGGAGGTGGCAAGGCGAGTGGTGGGGGAGGGTTTGGCGCGGTGCTTGGGTGACGACCACCTGCCTGTGGCTGCTGCCGCCACTGACGCCCTTGCTGCCTTCTGCCGATCGCCCTTGGGAGTGGTAAGTTGGATTCTGGGCCCCAAGTGTGTTTGTGCTTCAGAAAGCGTGCGGTTTTGGGGCGGTGCTTGGGCGACGAGCACCTGCGAGTGGCTGCCGCCCGCTGTTACTGACGCCCCCGAGGCCTACTGCCGATCGCCCTTGGGTTCTGTGTGTTGGGGTGTTTATTGTCTTTGAAAAACTGTCAGTGCACTCCATTCGTGGTGATGCATGCATTCACCCATTCTCCTGCGACCTCTCAAGTGTTTCAATCTTCGTCCCACAATCCTCCCACAATTCTTCTGTCCCACAATCCTCCCTTCCTGCCTTTCGTTCGTTTCAGAGCCTAATCTTCAGTAGTGATCAACTGTACAAGCTTACACGCTCGTCGCACTCACAGGTATACCAGGGGAACCAATGGCATTGCATTTTCTGCGTATGTATATATGTATGTATATACATATATGTTTATGTATATATAAATTGCCTACTTCCATGATTTATTTTGTTTCCTCTCATTTCCAAATGATCGTTTCCTCTCATTATTTCTCTTCTGTATCGTTTTTATCCTCTTCTTCTCCTCGCCAGGTGCAGCAACGAGTTGTGGAGGCAGCACTGCGTCTGGCCAACCAATCGCAGCACGCCATGTCAGCAGTCGAGAAGCTGGATCTGCTTCAGCCATTAGTCGTGGAGCTGCAAGGAGTGGCAGGGATGAGTGAAGGTGGAACAGAAGGGGGAGGTGCAAGTGAAGAGGGTGGTGATGCTCTGGCGGCTCTTGCAGCGTGTGAACTCGTCTCGGAGGTGCAGTTTCCACCTCTTGTCATCGTTCCATCTTTGCTCCATCTTTTTTCTTGGTCATCTGTATCTGTGCAAGCAAACCTGATTGCATTCTGCTTCCGCCCCTCGAAACGTGCCTGCCAGTTCACGAGCAGCAGAGTGGGCGTGTAGCTAATTGAGCCACCGGGCACTTGTCCAAATCTGCACCAAGGCATCGATCCCACTCCTTGTGTCCCTGCGTCCCTGGTGTTTGGTTTTGCCCACTGTATGATCCCTTCTCCTCTCCCCACGTGCCAGTTCACGAGCAGCAGGGTGGGTGCAGAGCTGCTCGAACCACGCATCGACGAAATCCACCAGGCACTCGTTCAAATCTGCACCAAGGCATCAGCACAAGCACCACCAGCAGAAGGAGCAGCAGCAGCAGCAGCAGCAGCACGACCAGCGGAAGCATCGCTGCAGGTGGGGTTGGACCTGCTCCTGCCAGCCGCTCTCAAGTGTGCTGCTCGCCTCACCTCGCCAGCGACACCAGGAGTCATGGCTCCTCTCACCCTCATCCGTACGCCCCTCCTCTCACCCTCATCCGTACGCCCCTCCTCTCACCCTCATCCGTACGCCCCTCCTCTCACCCTCATCCGTACGCCCCTCCTCTCACCCTCATCCGTACGCCCCTCCTCTCACCCTCATCCGTACGCGCCCCTCTTCTTCCCCTACTCATACTGCGGCCCTCATACTTCCCTGCACACCAGGAGTCATGGCTCCTCTCACCCTCATCCGTACGCGCCCCTCCCTGTTGATCTCATCCGTACGCGCCCCTCCCTGTTGATCTCATCCGTACGCGCCCCTCCCTATTTTTCTCATCCCTGCACGCCTCCTCTGACCTTGATTTTTATGCAGTGTTCCACACCTTGGTCCGCATGCCCCTGCCTGTAACTTGTTCCGCACGCACCCATGCACCTCTTGCTCTCATTCGTACGCCTCACTCTCTTTCCCTGTCAGTCTTTCCCTGCCCGTTGCTCCCTCTCCTGTGCATCAGAGGCGGACGAGGTGGCAGCGCTGCTCAGCAGCATGTGTGTGGGGCGTGGGGGCGCAGTGAGGTGCACCTGGAAGGGGTACCTTAAGCCGCATCCTCAGATCTTTGTCTCTCTCTTTCTCTTCCACCCCCGCTCCTGTTCGTCAGAGGCGGACGAGGTGGCATCGATGCTCAGCAGCATGTGTGTGGGGCAGGGGGCCGCAGTGAGATGACTTTTGAGTCGACTCAAAAGTCATGTGTGTGGGGCGTGGGGGCGCAGTGAGATGATGGCTTGAGTTTGGATCAACAGCCTTCTCTGCATTTCTTTCGCTTTCCCTCCCCTGTGATTCAGAGGCGGATGAGGTGGTAGCGTTGTTCAACAGCATGTGTGAGGCATGGGGGCATAGCTGGCCTGAGAACAGCATGCCTGAGGCATGTGTGGCAAGCAGCACGTGCCAACAGAGACAGTGGAGGGGTTCTTCATTGTTCCACCTTCGCTACTTCCCTCCCCTTCCCTCCTCTGACCTCTGCTTCCCTTCGCTTACGTTTCCCCATGTTTGAGATTCAGAGGCGGACGCGGTGGCAGCGCTGCTCAACAACATGTGTGAGGCGTGGGGCCGCAATGAGGTGCTGACTTATGGGGTAATTTGAACCTTCTTTATCGTGGGTTAAAGAGTTTTGCCGTCTCTTTCCTGCTTCCTTGTGCTTCAGAGGCGGACGAGGTGGCAGCGCTGTTCAACAGCATGTGTGTGAGGCATGGAGGCGGATTTTGAGTGAAGTAAAAAACCCTTTGTGCACCTTCCCTGCCCTGCTTTCCCCTCTCGTGTGTTTCAGAGGCGGACGAGGTAGCAGCGCTGTTCAACAGCATGTGTGAGGCATGGGGGCGTAGCGAGGAGCACGTGCCCACTGAGACAGTGGAGGGATTCTTTGATGCTCTCGCCACCTACGCTCGCTGTGAGTTGCCTGCTGCTTACTGCTGCTGTGAGTTGTTGCCTATGCCCGTCTGTGAGGTATCTGTGGGGTATCTGAGGGGTATCTGTGGGGTATCTGAGGGGTATCTGAGGGGTATCTGAGGGGTATCTGAGGGGCATGTGAGGAGCACGTGCCGGCTGAGAAAGTGGAGGGTTCTTTGATTCTCACGCTGCACGCTGTGAGTTGCTGCCTGTAATTTGGAGATGCCTGCTGCAAATTTCCCTTCTCCCCTCTTCCCTGACTCTCTGCCTACTTCCCCCCCTTTACTATTTTTTTCTCCTTCCAGCAACACACGGCACCCGCCTGCTGCTCAACCCGCGCCGTCATGTCGTCAGCTTCGTTCTTAAGCACGCGTTCGGGGGCTGCGGCCCTCACACTTCCCTGCACACTGTGAGTGTTCCGTGCTTGCGCCTCGCTTCTGCACGCACAGTTCTAGTCTTTCGTGAGTGCTGCTCGCCCTTTCCTCCCTCCTCTCAAGCACGTCTCTAGGGGCTGCGGCCTACACACCTCCCTGCACAGAGTGAAGCTCGTGACTTCTATAATCGGAGCAGACAGAGTGGAGGGGAGCGGGCCCGTGCCATTAGTCCAAGCCTATTTAGCCTTTAGCCTTCTTATGCCTCCGCTCCCTTTCGTGTCTGCACGCATCTCTGTATGCACTCTGGCTTCTATATTCGGAGCAGACCGGGAGGAGGGGAACGAGCTAGTGCAGATGGTGCCAGTGCATGCCACCTGTCAGAATCCCAGCCACTAACCACTGGGATAAAAGGGCTTGTTTGTGTAGCGGGTGAGTGCGCCCATAACCCCCCAGGCCAACATGCCTGTAACCCTTCCCTAGGATCATCGGGGATCTCCAGTGGACCTCTGACACCCCCCCGCACTGGGATGCCCGAGGTGCACACACCGGGATTCGAACCCGAGACCTTCGCTCTGATACCATGTCAGAATCCCAGCCACTAACCACTGGGATAAAAGGGCTTGTTTGTGTAGCGGGTGAGTGCGCCCATAACCCCCCAGGCCAACATGCCTGTAACCCTTCCCTAGGATCATCGGGGATCTCCAGTGGACCTCTGACACCACCCACTCTTCAACTTCCCCCCCCTCCCTCCACTCACCTTCGTCTCTGCAGGCCTCTCTCCATGCGCTCGCATCGGTATTTGGAGCAGACAGGGTGGAGGGGAGCGAGCCAATGCAGATGGTGGCAGTCAGCGCATGCACTGTTAGCCTTCTAATGCCTCGAATCCCTTCCCTTATTCCCCCACGTGGTCTCTCCAGGCCTCACTGTATGCTCTTGCCTCCATTTTCGGAGCAGACAGGGTGGAGGGGAGCGAGCCAGTGCAGATGGTGGCAGTCGGCGCATGCACTGTTAGCCTTCTAATGCCTCGAATCCCTTCCCTTATTCCCCCACGTGGTCTCTCCAGGCCTCACTGTATGCTCTTGCCTCCATTTTCGGAGCAGACAGGGTGGAGGGGAGCGAGCCAGTGCAGATGGTGGCAGTCGGCGCATGCACTGTTAGCCTTCTAATGCCTCGAATCCCTTCCCTTATTCCCCCACGTGGTCTCTCCAGGCCTCACTGCATGCTCTTGCCTCCATTTTCGGAGCAGACAGGGTGGAGGGGAGCGAGCCAGTGCAGATGGTGGCAGTCGGCGCATGCACTGTTAGCCTTCTAATGCCTCGAATCCCTTCCCTTATTCCCCCACGTGGTCTCTCCAGGCCTCACTGTATGCTCTTGCCTCCATTTTCGGAGCAGACAGGGTGGAGGGGAGCGAGCCAGTGCAGATGGTGGCAGTCGGCGCATGCACTGTTAGCCTTCTAATGCCTCGAATCCCTTCCCTTATTCCCCCACTTGGTCTCTCCAGGCCTCACTGTATGCTCTTGCCTCCATTTTCGGAGCAGACAGGGTGGAGGGGAGCGAGCCAGTGCAGATGGTGGCAGTCGGCGCATGCACTGTTAGCCTTCTAATGCCTCGAATCCCTTCCCTTATTCCCCCACGTGGTCTCTCCAGGCCTCACTGTATGCTCTTGCCTCCATTTTCGGAGCAGACAGGGTGGAGGGGAGCGAGCCAGTGCAGATGGTGGCAGTCGGCGCATGCACTGTTAGCCTTCTAATGCCTCGAATCCCTTCCCTTATTCCCCCACGTGGTCTCTCCAGGCCTCACTGTATGCTCTTGCCTCCATTTTCGGAGCAGACAGGGTGGAGGGGAGCGAGCCAGTGCAGATGGTGGCAGTCGGCGCATGCACTGTTAGCCTTCTAATGCCTCGAATCCCTTCCCTTATTCCCCCACTTGGTCTCTCCAGGCCTCACTGTATGCTCTTGCCTCCATTTTCGGAGCAGACAGGGTGGAGGGGAGCGAGCCAGTGCAGATGGTGCCAGTGCATGCCACCCACTCGGGGATCAGTGGGGTGGACGAGGGGGGAGGAGGAGGAGCCGGTGGGGGGGGTGGTGAAGGGATGGATTTGGAGGTGGGGGATGATGGCGAGACGAAGCTCAAGGAAGTGACGTTTGCTGCTGCGGCCAAAGCACCTGGCGGACCAACCTTGGCGGTGAGTGCTGATAGGAGGCAGGAGTGCGGTGCAGGGTGTTAGGAAATTCGGCTGGGTTGGAAGGGAGCGAGCCGGTGCAGATGGTGCCAGTGCATGCCACCCACTCGGGAATCAGCGGGGTGGACGAGGGGGGAGGAGGAGGGGCCGGTGGGGGTGGTGAGAGGATGGATGTAGAGGTGGGGGTGGATGGCGAGACTACAAGATTATTCACAGCGACAAGGATAACACGACGACATGTCTTGACTGACACTTGCCGTGGTGACGTCATTGAAGGATGCAGCTGCGGTTCTTGCTTATGCTGGAAAATTAAAATTTTTTAAACAGAACTGCAACGAGAAACGATTTATCAGTACTTCCTGGCTCAACAAGAAAACGGTTCGCACAAGTAAAGGTTTGTCAAGCTTACTTCTTGTTTCTTTCATAAGAAAGAACCGCAGATGCATCCTCCAATGAAGTTACTACGGCAATTGTCAGCCTAGGTACCGTCGTGGTGTTATCCTTGTCATTGTGAATAATCTTGAAGTCTTTGCTGCACCCTGAGCTCTCCGCATTTTCTTTTTTTTTTTTTTGCTGACTTGTGGCGTTGTGCTTGCTTTGTGCGTGGCAGGGCGTGTTTGTCGCTCTGCTTAAGCGCTCTGAGGAAATTCGCGTTGCTGTGAGTCTCGCCACCACGTTTACTTGCCGACTCATTCATGCACTTTCCAGTTTCTAGTCGAGTCAAAGTACCAAAAAAGGCTTGTTCAAATCTCTGCCTAAGCGCTCTAAGGAGATTCGCGTTGCTGTGAGTCCTACAGTCACACACTTACTTGCTATATCACATTCATGCAATTCTCAGCAGCATGCCTGACAGGGCATGTTCGCCTCTCTGCTAAGCGCAACTCTCATTTTTTCTTTCCCTGCAGGTGTATCGTCTGCTGGCAGCAGTGGTGGAGAGGGAGTGGGCGGCAGTGGAGTTGTGTGGGGACTGGGGTCTGGTGCAGATGGTCACAGACGCGCACGGCGGAGAGGCACAAAGCAGGTGAGGGGCAGGAAAAGAATGCGCTGTGTCTTCCTTGTTAGTATAAGGCACCCTCGTGCTGTGCTGGGCTGGTCAGCGGAGTGGGAGGGGGGCTGTTCCTCGGGTGAGTGGGCGGCAGTGGAGCTGTGTGAGGACTGGGGTCTGGTGCAGAATGTCACAGACGCTCAAACCGAGAGGCATAAAGCAGGTGAGGGGCACAACAGGTGACGGGGCATGCATTGTTGCATCCACACGCAACGCCCTTTGTGAATCCAAGTTACCCTACCCTACCCACACTGCTACGCCCTCCCATGCCACGTGGCAGCCATGGATTGGAGGCATTCGTGCTGTGTGGCCATGTCAACAGCAGCAGAGGCACAGCACGCGTCCATCTCCTTTAACTGCACTGCGCAGGTCAGCCACTGCCACCTGTCAGTCTGCCACCTGTCAGCCTGCCACCTGTCAGTCTGCCACCTGTCAGTCTGCCACCTGTCAGTCTGCCACCTGTCAGCCTGCCACCTGTCAGTCTTCCACCTGTCAATCAGTCTGCTCCCTCCAGTCACTGCGCTTGGTTGATGAACATGAAACTTATCACCACTTCTTCTTCTCCCTTGTCGTCCCTCCCCCCCAACCTCCCTCGTTGCATCACACCGGCTTACTGAGACTAGCTGAGGCTAGTGCGGCAGTGCGCTGGAAAGCATACCTCACTCCTCTTCCTCCTCGCTCTGCATCCAACAACGACCACTTCTGCCCCCATTCCCCTTCCCTACCCAATCTCCCTCCCTGCATCACACCAGCTGGCCGAGGCAGTGCGCAGGGGACCCTACCTGAGGCCACGGGAAATCGAGCCGCGGCCCATAGTTGTCACTGATGAGAGGCCGCCTACCGGGTTTTGATCGCACCAGGCAGGGTTTCAGGTGGTTGATTCGTGAGAGTCGTATTGGCCAGGTGTGGGGAATGGGTGGATGAAGTGGTTTAGAATGGGCACTGTTGCGCTCAGCTGGCAATGGGTTAGCTGATCCACTGTACATCGTTTTGTAGCAAGTTGGGTAGCGTTTTTTAGCCATGTTGCGGATCTTGCGACTATGCACATAGTGTTCTGTTTGATGCCAAATGTGCTAATTGTGAGATACGGTACAATAGGATGCATAGAGCGTGGCATGGATATGTCAAGCCCAAGTAAACAGCTGTCATGATGGGAAAAGTCAAGATGGCATGCGAATTACTAACTGCATGCATGACCCAGGGCTGGCTTATAATATGGACTTGATACGTTTCAGGCATTACCGTGGAAACGTTTCGTGGAGTAATATAAGTTTGAAACTAAAGGTAAATAGCATCATCAGGTGTTTTGCCTACACAAGCACATAGATGTTTTGCGAATGCAGTGACCTCGAAGGTAGTTATCAGTGTTTTCGGGATTTCTTAAAGCCCGCGGCCCAAAGTGCGGCCCGCGCGGGGTCAAGATTTTAAAACTGGACGAAGTGACCTGTGCAAGCTTTGAAAAGTAGCGCAGGTGCAATTTGGGACTTCCGAAGTCTGACACACCCACCAGGGAGAAATCGAGAGGCTTGCTGGGTTTGGCGAAAAAACGATTTTGACGAAATCAGAAACACTCGCCAAAACCCAAACCTGTAAAACTCCCTCTCGTCTTCTTTTAAAAACTTGTGCAATTTGGGCTGCCGGTTTTAATCAAAAGAGCAAAATGCGACAAGTCAGAGTGTACTCATTGTTACCCCTTTACTTGTGCCGTCACCGAACAGAAACTGGTCGTTCGGCCAATCGTCAACATCGATGCCGCACAATCTTCTACACACGATGCCCGTTTGACTAACCCAAGGTTGCCTTGTGAAGAGGGCTCTTAAGTGATTCTTGCATTTCGCTAAGCTTTCGTCAATTCGCACTTAGCAAAAAGGGCTTTTAAAAGATTTTGTAACTCGCTGTTGACCGTTTGACATGGGTCTCTTCTGTCAAACTTCGGTTTTTGTGGTTCGTATTGCTCGAGGTGCTTGTAAATGGGGTGCAACTGGCTGGTACCCTAATACACGGGTGCAGAGTTTCCATCGCGGGCAGGGCAAATTCGCGTGCAGGTGTTGGGCATCTTGTGTACAATCGACGTGAGGCCTCGACTTTTGTTGAGCTTTCGCCAATGGTCTGTGTGGTGTTTTCCACCAGTAATAACGCGAGGAGGTTCGTTTGCGAGCGACGAACTCGAGGTCAAGGGAATGCCGTTTTCGCAGCACTGTTGACTGACATCCAACGGCACAAACAACCTCCGTACGGTACCCACTGACCGTCCGACCTACAGAAATGCTTTCCTCCCTTGCTCCTCCCTGCCCTGCCCCCTGCCTCTCATGTACAGTTGCATTTGCTTGTGCTTGAACACAAGTACTGTACAGTTCATTGAATTCAGGTTCTGGGTTGGTGCCTCAGCACCACTAAATTAGGGTTTCGCGAACTTTCTGGCAGCCCTATGAGACGTGCTGCTAAAGACTATCGCCTGTTTATGTCGTCGTTCGAGCAGCACCAGATGCCGGGACTCTTGATTATGGGAAATGACGGGTAGTCTCTATTTTAAACTCGTAGTAACATGGGCTGTACTGGTCTCCCGTTGGCATAATAGCCAGCTAAGTTAGTCCCAGGCTCCTTCTCGTTCTGCATTCCCTCGGGCGGCCGGTTCCGTCCTGTTCTCTCTGATATTCGTAAAAAGGATTCAAACTGGCCACGGAGGATGAACCTACTTAAGTATTCGTGTTCATGCCATCAACAGAAGCTGCTCGTGACACTAGGGTTACCAGCTATGTTGTGGCTAGTACTCACATTGTCCTTTCTAGGGCTACCAGCCACCGCTACAGCCGATTCCCTTGCTCCTGTCGCCTCGTCCGAAGCATCCTCGTTAACAGTCTCTTCGTCAACTGTCTATAATGTAGCAGCTGCAGCAGATAATGGCGGGAAACAGGTTATCAAAGTCGCTTGCTTTGTGCCGCTGGAGATTCCTTTCGGCCAGGCCATATACAAAGGTGATTTTCATTAGATGTATATAATATATTTTTACCGCGCTCGCCATTGTAGCAGCAAATGCCGTGCTGAGGGGAAGTAGGGGGGAACACGGCGCGCTCGCCATTGTAGCAGTTGCTCTGCTGGGAATGGCGAAAAGCAGTACTTACGGTTTGCGTGCAGCCTCTCTCTGCTTATCCGTTATTGCTTATAGTCTTTCAAAACTAAATGCTCAATCTTAGCCGCATAGTTCATCCGGGATGTTTATTCTAAAGGGTCACAACAACCCTCTTGTTTCTCCAATACACATTCCCTTCACCTTCGCTGTTTTTCGCCTCCTTTCCCCCACTTTCTCCCCTCCCTGTCCACGTGTAGCCGTGCGACTGGCCGAGGCTCAGGTCAACGGCAACGACCTGCTGCTGCCGGACTACACGATTCAGGTCGTGCCAGTCAACACGAGTGTCTCCACCACGCAGGCTGCCGCCTCAGGTACAACTCTCTCTCCTGCTCTCTCTTTTCATGCAATTGTTTGTTGAGGCTCTTTCACACCTCCCCCTGCATTGGTGCAGACAATGCTGGCAGGGAGGGTGGTGGCACCAGCGAGCCTTCCCTCTCCCACCCTCCCTCTCCCCCCCCAAACCTTCCCCCCTTGCCATTCTCCCTCCCCCCCTGCATTGGTGCAGACAATGCTAGCAGGGAGCGTGGTGGCAGCAGCGAGCCCTCCCTCTCTCCCACCCACCCACCTTCCCCTCTTGCCATTCTCCCATCCGCCCTGCAGTGGTGCAGACGATGCTAGCAGAGAGGGTGGTGGCAGCAGTGGGCCCAATGACCTCCTCCCAGGCACACGTGCTCTCCGCCATCCACACGCAAGTGCAGGTGCGTGCGTGCGTGCGTGCAGTGCGTGTGTGCGTGTATCGGGGCTGATGAGATGAGTTGAGTCGACTCAGAATGTCTCGGTGCTGGCAGCAAGGGCGGAAGCAGTGGGCCCAATGACCTCCTCCCAGGCGCACGTGCTCTCCGCCGTCCACACGCAAGTGCAGGTGCGCGCTTCAGTTGCGTGCGTGATTGCGTAAGTGCGCTTGTGTGTTCGTGCATGCATCTCATCTCCGTCCCTACCTCGTATATTTCGTCGTCTTCTCTATCTCCTGCCTCTTCTCCCCCACCTCCTCTCCACCCCTCTCTCTCCCCCCTCCCATCAGGTTCCCATGGTCTCCTACTCCGCCACGGATCCCTCCCTCTCAGCCGCCTCCTACCCCTTCTTCACACGCACCATCCGCAGCGACGCTCTCGAGATGCAGGCCATAGCGGGTGAGATAAACGTGAATTGGACGGGCGTAGCATGGTAGCAGCATTTGACACATGGCTGGCTGGTTGTAGCAGTGTGGGGTTGTGGGGCCCGACCCTTTCCTCTCAGCCGCCTCCTACCCCTTCTTCACGCGCACCATCCACAGCGACGCCCTCGAGACGCAGGCCATAGCGGGTGAGTGAGACGTGCCGAGCTGAATGGTGGGGTGGGGCGTGTTGATGGGCACAGCAGCATGTGACTGGCTGTGGGGGGGCCCCAACCCTTCTTCACGCGCACCAGGGTAGGGCGAGCTGATGGGCATGGGGGTGTGAGGCATGTTCCATGGTGATGATGGGAAGGGAATGGTGTTGTTGCCTCCACGAGTTCAACCCAACATGTACGTACGGGTCTTAGTTGGTACTTTACGTTTTTTTGGGTCACGTAAACGTAAACGTACGCTTGAGTTTACCTTTACGTTTTCTTACGCGTAACTTTACGTAAAGTCTCTGGCAGGGCAAAAAGGTTTTTTTTGTCTGCGAAATGGGAAAATCTGACTGATATGAGGTGGGAGAGGCTGTGACATGTCCGTGTAGATTTGGGGCATCTGTAAGTTGATGTAATAATGTGCTAACATGCTTGGGCATAGAAGAACCAAGCTAGTGATAGATTAGGCGCTTCCCATGCAGCCACTTAGTCCGATGAATTCTTATATTTCCGGGCAGGCAGAAATGTTTCTGGCTGACCGTAAACGTAAAGCCGTTTTGGGCCCACGTAAGTAAACAGGTCATAGCGGGTGAGACGTCTCTTGAGGCGCCTCAAAATTCCAGTTAACATGTACGCTGAAGTGTACGCATGTATGTACACTTCAGCTGGCTTGAGTTGATCACCATTTGCAGTGACTTTCCGTGCAGACACGCTCACTAACAACTCTGCCTCCCACCCACCCACCCCCCTCCTCCCCCCCACCCCCCCTCATCCCCGAGACCTAGTGACGCATTTCAGCTGGCTGGAGGTGATCACCATCCACAGCGATGACGACTACGGTAGAAACCACCAAAACCGATCCCACCAACCCCCAAAAGCCCCCCTCCCCCTCTCCGCAAACCCGTATCTCATCCCCAGACCTTGTGACGCATTTCAGCTGGCTGGAGGTGATCACCATCTACAGCGATGACGACTACGGCAGAAACGGAGTCAACCAGCTGGCAGTGCTGCTGGATAAGGTGCGCTGGCCGATGATGTGAGCTGCCGGATAACGTGGCCTGGGAGGCGGATAGGGTAAGCTGGCGGATAAGTTGAGCTGGCAGTGCAACCGGACAAGGTGAGGTATCCTCCTCAGGTCCTTTCCTCCTCTCCTTCCTTTACGCCTTCTCCTTCTCCTTCTTTCCCACCTCCCCTCCTCTTCCCATCTCCTCCGTGTATTCCACACCCACCAGGAGTCAGTGGACGTGGTGAAGAGCATAGCCGTGCTACTCGATGCCTCCCTCTCAGACATCATTGTGCGCCTGCTGCCCCAATCGCCCATCACGCCCCCTTCTCCTAATTCCCACTCACCCCTCTTTCCATACCACACCACACCACACCACACCACACCACACCACACCACACCCACCAGGCGTCAGTGGACGTGGTGAAGAGCATAGCCGTGCCACTGGACGCCTCGCTCTCAGACATCATCGTGCGTCTGCTCGCCGCTCAGAAGCTGGAATCCACGGTCTTCATTCTCCAGCTCAATCTCGAGCTCATCGTGCCCGTGCTCACTGCTGGTGGGTTGAGTGCTGCCTGCTTCTGTCCTGATGGTCGGCTGTATGTTTGTCCCGTGGTCAGTGGTATGGTCCCACGCTTGACTGCCCGGTGCTCGCCGCCCAGAATCTGGAGTCCACGGTCTTTATTCTCCATCTCAACCTCGAGCTCATCGTGCCTGTTCTCACTGCTGGTAGGCTGGTTGACGGCTGCCTGCTGCTATGCTGACTGACTGCTGGCTCTGATATCATATGTCTGTCCCATACCCATCCCATGGTCTGCCTCTCCGACTTCATCGTGCGTCTGTTACTTTGAGAATTCTCTCCTCTGAAGGGAGAGCTAGTGGTGGTGGCAGGGTTAGAGAACCTGCCAGAGCTCTCCTCTGTAGGGATGATCGGCACACGCATCTTCGTGCCACCCAACGCCCCACCCCCCCTTGCCCTGCCTTGCTCGTCTTTCTTCCTGTCACCGCCCCCCTCCCCCCCGTCCCTTCCCTCTTCTCCTCTCTCCCTTCCCGTCACTAGTGGTGTCCGAGCTGGAGAATCTGCCAGAGCTCTCCACTGAGGGGGTGATCTGCAATCCAACGTTTCCATGCCGCTTACTGTCCTCTTGCTACCACCCTCCCCATGTTCCCCCTCTCCGTGAGCAGCGTCAGAAGTGGGCATGATGACGCCGGGCTATGTGTGGATAGCCACGGAGGGAGTGGTGTCCGAGTTAGAGAACCTGCCGGAGCTCTCCACGGAGGGGATGATCGGCACGCGCATCTTCGTGCCGCCCAATGCCCTTCCTCCTCCTCCCCTCTTCCCCTGCCTTGCTCATATTTTTTCCTGACACCGCCCCCCTCCACCCCCTCTTCCCCTCCCTCTCTTCCCGGCACTCACTCCCTTTTTCATGTACCCGTGAGCAGCTTCCGAGGTGGGAATGATGACGCCAGGTTACGTATGGATCGCAACCGAAGGAGTGGTGTCCGAGTTAGAGAACCTGCCGGAGCTCTCCACGGAGGGCATGATCGGCACGCGCATCTTCGTGCCGCCCAACCCCCAGCCGTCGGGGCTGGAGAACCTTTAACGGAAAGCGCAGCAACAAACACCTCCGTGCCTCTCTATGCCCGCTCTCTTCCTCACCCGTGAGCAGCGTCCGAGGTGGGAGTGATGACGCCGGGCTATGTGTGGATCGCCACTGAGGGAGTGGTGTCGGAGCTGGAGAATCTGCCGGAGCTCTCCACTGAGGGCATGATCGGCACACGCATCTTCGTGCCGCCCAACCCCTCCAATTTTTCGGGGCTGGAAAAACTTTAACAGAAAGCGGAGCAACAAACACCTCCGTGCCTCCCTATGCCCGCTCTCTTCCTCACCCGTGAGCAGCGTCCGAGGTGGGAATGATGACGCCGGGCTATGTGTGGATCGCCACTGAGGGAGTGGTGTCCGAGTTAGAGAACCTGCCGGAGCTCTCCACGGAGGGCATGATCGGCACGCGCATCTTCGTGCCGCCCAACCCCCAGCTGTCGGAGTTTGAGCGCGCGTGGCAGGCGGATGGGAACGGGAATGCGACGAATGGCGGAGGGGCGTTTGACACGGTGAGAGAGAGAGGGGGGGGGGGAGGGGGGGAGGGGAGTTTTGACGAGTGAGGGAGGTAGGGAGGGTGACTTTTGAGGCGCCTCACAAGCCGCCCAACACCCAGCTGTCCGAGTTTGGGCGAGTCGGATGGGGACGGGAATGCAACAAACGGTGCTGCTGCGTTTTTGACGAGGCGAGGAAGAGGGGGCGAGGGAGCAGCACCAACTGTAATATGAGTCGATATTTGAGGCGCCTCAAAAGCCGCTCGGTCCCCAGCTGTCTGAGTTTGAGCGGGCGTGGCGTGGCGTACCAGATGGGGATGGGAACTCAACAAACGGTGCAGCCGCGTTTGACGAGGTGAGAACAAAGTGGGGAAGAGTTGGTTTTTGAAAATTCTCAAAAACCAACTTGAAGTGGGGGGGGGGGGGGGGGGGGGGGGGGGGGGGGGGGGTTGAGTGGAGTTTTGAGGCGGCACTCAACTCCAAGTTTTGAGGGGGGGGGAGGGGTTGAGTGGTTGAAATCTCTCTCCTCTCCCTCATCGCCCTGCGCCCTCCACGTGCTGCTCTACTACCCCGAGCTGTTCCCCACCTCTTCTCGTGACTTTTGAGGCGCCTCAAAAGTCGCTGCTCTACTCCAACCTGTTTCCCAGCTCTTCTCTCTTTCTCACCCCCCCCTCCCCCCATTCTTCTCCATTTGTTCCCCCTGTCACCCCCGCTTCCCCCCCCAGACCACACTCCACACGCTTTTTGCTTACGACTCCCTCTCCCTCATCGCCTGCTCCATCCACGCGCTCCTCTACCCCAACTCTCCTACTGTTCCCTGCTCACCTCTCTCTCCCCCTGTCCCCCTACACCCTACACCCTGTCCCCTGCCCCTTCTCTCCCCCGTGCAGACCACACTCTACGTTCCCTTTGCGTATGATTCCCTCTCCCTTATCGCCCATTCCATCCATGCGCTCCTCTACCCCAACTCCTCACCCCCCATCAACGCCCCTCCTCCTGCCGCCTACGGCAACGCCAGTGACAGTGGCGGCGGCGTCAATAGCACCGGGAGGCTGGCAGGAGCGGAAGCAGCAACAGGGGGATTGGGGGCGGTGGCGGGGGGTACGAATGGGGGAGTGGTGGGCTTAGAGCGGTGGCAAGCGGTGCAGTTGCCAAAAGGAGGAGGGGCGTCTACTGACCTGGCACGGCTGCTGGAGAACCTTGGTGCGTGCGTGATAGTGAGCGCGAGTGAGTGCGTGACAGGGAGCAAGAGTGAGTGCATAATAGGGAGCGCGAGTGAGTGCATAACAGGGAGCGCGAGTGAGTGCATAACAGGGAGCGCGAGTGAGTGCATAATAGGGAGCGCGAGTGAGTGCATAATAGGGAGCGCGAGTGAGTGCATAATAGGGAGCGCGAGTGAGTGCATAATAGGGAGCGCGAGTGAGTGCATAATAGGGAGCGCGAGTGAGTGCATAATAGGGAGCGCGAGTGAGTGCATAATAGGGAGCGCGAGTGAGTGCATAATAGGGAGCGCGAGTGAGTGCATAATAGGGAGCGCGAGTGAGTGCATAATAGGGAGCGCGAGTGAGTGCATAATAGGGAGCGCGAGTGAGTGCATAATAGGGAGCGCGAGTGAGTGCATAATAGGGAGCGCGAGTGAGTGCATAATAGGGAGCGCGAGTGAGTGCATAATAGGGAGCGCGAGTGAGTGCATAATAGGGAGCGCGAGTGAGTGCATAATAGGGAGCGCGAGTGAGTGCATAATAGGGAGCGCGAGTGAGTGCATAATAGGGAGCGCGAGTGAGTGCATAATAGGGAGCGCGAGTGAGTGCATAATAGGGAGCGCGAGTGAGTGCATAATAGGGAGCGCGAGTGAGTGCATAATAGGGAGCGCGAGTGAGTGCATAATAGGGAGCGCGAGTGAGTGCATAATAGGGAGCGCGAGTGAGTGCATAATAGGGAGCGCGAGTGAGTGCATAATAGGGAGCGCGAGTGAGTGCATAATAGGGAGCGCGAGTGAGTGCATAATAGGGAGCGCGAGTGAGTGCATAATAGGGAGCGCGAGTGAGTGCATAATAGGGAGCGCGAGTGAGTGCATAATAGGGAGCGCGAGTGAGTGCATAATAGGGAGCGCGAGTGAGTGCATAATAGGGAGCGCGAGTGAGTGCATAATAGGGAGCGCGAGTGAGTGCATAATAGGGAGCGCGAGTGAGTGCATAATAGGGAGCGCGAGTGAGTGCATAATAGGGAGCGCGAGTGAGTGCATAATAGGGAGCGCGAGTGAGTGCATAATAGGGAGCGCGAGTGAGTGCATAATAGGGAGCGCGAGTGAGTGCATAATAGGGAGCGCGAGTGAGTGCATAATAGGGAGCGCGAGTGAGTGCATAATAGGGAGCGCGAGTGAGTGCATAATAGGGAGCGCGAGTGAGTGCATAATAGGGAGCGCGAGTGAGTGCATAATAGGGAGCGCGAGTGAGTGCATAATAGGGAGCGCGAGTGAGTGCATAATAGGGAGCGCGAGTGAGTGCATAATAGGGAGCGCGAGTGAGTGCATAATAGGGAGCGCGAGTGAGTGCATAATAGGGAGCGCGAGTGAGTGCATAATAGGGAGCGCGAGTGAGTGCATAATAGGGAGCGCGAGTGAGTGCATAATAGGGAGCGCGAGTGAGTGCATAATAGGGAGCGCGAGTGAGTGCATAATAGGGAGCGCGAGTGAGTGCATAATAGGGAGCGCGAGTGAGTGCATAATAGGGAGCGCGAGTGAGTGCATAATAGGGAGCGCGAGTGAGTGCATAATAGGGAGCGCGAGTGAGTGCATAATAGGGAGCGCGAGTGAGTGCATAATAGGGAGCGCGAGTGAGTGCATAATAGGGAGCGCGAGTGAGTGCATAATAGGGAGCGCGAGTGAGTGCATAATAGGGAGCGCGAGTGAGTGCATAATAGGGAGCGCGAGTGAGTGCATAATAGGGAGCGCGAGTGAGTGCATAATAGGGAGCGCGAGTGAGTGCATAATAGGGAGCGCGAGTGAGTGCATAATAGGGAGCGCGAGTGAGTGCATAATAGGGAGCGCGAGTGAGTGCATAATAGGGAGCGCGAGTGAGTGCATAATAGGGAGCGCGAGTGAGTGCATAATAGGGAGCGCGAGTGAGTGCATAATAGGGAGCGCGAGTGAGTGCATAATAGGGAGCGCGAGTGAGTGCATAATAGGGAGCGCGAGTGAGTGCATAATAGGGAGCGCGAGTGAGTGCATAATAGGGAGCGCGAGTGAGTGCATAATAGGGAGCGCGAGTGAGTGCATAATAGGGAGCGCGAGTGAGTGCATAATAGGGAGCGCGAGTGAGTGCATAATAGGGAGCGCGAGTGAGTGCATAATAGGGAGCGCGAGTGAGTGCATAATAGGGAGCGCGAGTGAGTGCATAATAGGGAGCGCGAGTGAGTGCATAATAGGGAGCGCGAGTGAGTGCATAATAGGGAGCGCGAGTGAGTGCATAATAGGGAGCGCGAGTGAGTGCATAATAGGGAGCGCGAGTGAGTGCATAATAGGGAGCGCGAGTGAGTGCATAATAGGGAGCGCGAGTGAGTGCATAATAGGGAGCGCGAGTGAGTGCATAATAGGGAGCGCGAGTGAGTGCATAATAGGGAGCGCGAGTGAGTGCATAATAGGGAGCGCGAGTGAGTGCATAATAGGGAGCGCGAGTGAGTGCATAATAGGGAGCGCGAGTGAGTGCATAATAGGGAGCGCGAGTGAGTGCATAATAGGGAGCGCGAGTGAGTGCATAATAGGGAGCGCGAGTGAGTGCATAATAGGGAGCGCGAGTGAGTGCATAATAGGGAGCGCGAGTGAGTGCATAATAGGGAGCGCGAGTGAGTGCATAATAGGGAGCGCGAGTGAGTGCATAATAGGGAGCGCGAGTGAGTGCATAATAGGGAGCGCGAGTGAGTGCATAATAGGGAGCGCGAGTGAGTGCATAATAGGGAGCGCGAGTGAGTGCATAATAGGGAGCGCGAGTGAGTGCATAATAGGGAGCGCGAGTGAGTGCATAATAGGGAGCGCGAGTGAGTGCATAATAGGGAGCGCGAGTGAGTGCATAATAGGGAGCGCGAGTGAGTGCATAATAGGGAGCGCGAGTGAGTGCATAATAGGGAGCGCGAGTGAGTGCATAATAGGGAGCGCGAGTGAGTGCATAATAGGGAGCGCGAGTGAGTGCATAATAGGGAGCGCGAGTGAGTGCATAATAGGGAGCGCGAGTGAGTGCATAATAGGGAGCGCGAGTGAGTGCATAATAGGGAGCGCGAGTGAGTGCATAATAGGGAGCGCGAGTGAGTGCATAATAGGGAGCGCGAGTGAGTGCATAATAGGGAGCGCGAGTGAGTGCATAATAGGGAGCGCGAGTGAGTGCATAATAGGGAGCGCGAGTGAGTGCATAATAGGGAGCGCGAGTGAGTGCATAATAGGGAGCGCGAGTGAGTGCATAATAGGGAGCGCGAGTGAGTGCATAATAGGGAGCGCGAGTGAGTGCATAATAGGGAGCGCGAGTGAGTGCATAATAGGGAGCGCGAGTGAGTGCATAATAGGGAGCGCGAGTGAGTGCATAATAGGGAGCGCGAGTGAGTGCATAATAGGGAGCGCGAGTGAGTGCATAATAGGGAGCGCGAGTGAGTGCATAATAGGGAGCGCGAGTGAGTGCATAATAGGGAGCGCGAGTGAGTGCATAATAGGGAGCGCGAGTGAGTGCATAATAGGGAGCGCGAGTGAGTGCATAATAGGGAGCGCGAGTGAGTGCATAATAGGGAGCGCGAGTGAGTGCATAATAGGGAGCGCGAGTGAGTGCATAATAGGGAGCGCGAGTGAGTGCATAATAGGGAGCGCGAGTGAGTGCATAATAGGGAGCGCGAGTGAGTGCATAATAGGGAGCGCGAGTGAGTGCATAATAGGGAGCGCGAGTGAGTGCATAATAGGGAGCGCGAGTGAGTGCATAATAGGGAGCGCGAGTGAGTGCATAATAGGGAGCGCGAGTGAGTGCATAATAGGGAGCGCGAGTGAGTGCATAATAGGGAGCGCGAGTGAGTGCATAATAGGGAGCGCGAGTGAGTGCATAATAGGGAGCGCGAGTGAGTGCATAATAGGGAGCGCGAGTGAGTGCATAATAGGGAGCGCGAGTGAGTGCATAATAGGGAGCGCGAGTGAGTGCATAATAGGGAGCGCGAGTGAGTGCATAATAGGGAGCGCGAGTGAGTGCATAATAGGGAGCGCGAGTGAGTGCATAATAGGGAGCGCGAGTGAGTGCATAATAGGGAGCGCGAGTGAGTGCATAATAGGGAGCGCGAGTGAGTGCATAATAGGGAGCGCGAGTGAGTGCATAATAGGGAGCGCGAGTGAGTGCATAATAGGGAGCGCGAGTGAGTGCATAATAGGGAGCGCGAGTGAGTGCATAATAGGGAGCGCGAGTGAGTGCATAATAGGGAGCGCGAGTGAGTGCATAATAGGGAGCGCGAGTGAGTGCATAATAGGGAGCGCGAGTGAGTGCATAATAGGGAGCGCGAGTGAGTGCATAATAGGGAGCGCGAGTGAGTGCATAATAGGGAGCGCGAGTGAGTGCATAATAGGGAGCGCGAGTGAGTGCATAATAGGGAGCGCGAGTGAGTGCATAATAGGGAGCGCGAGTGAGTGCATAATAGGGAGCGCGAGTGAGTGCATAATAGGGAGCGCGAGTGAGTGCATAATAGGGAGCGCGAGTGAGTGCATAATAGGGAGCGCGAGTGAGTGCATAATAGGGAGCGCGAGTGAGTGCATAATAGGGAGCGCGAGTGAGTGCATAATAGGGAGCGCGAGTGAGTGCATAATAGGGAGCGCGAGTGAGTGCATAATAGGGAGCGCGAGTGAGTGCATAATAGGGAGCGCGAGTGAGTGCATAATAGGGAGCGCGAGTGAGTGCATAATAGGGAGCGCGAGTGAGTGCATAATAGGGAGCGCGAGTGAGTGCATAATAGGGAGCGCGAGTGAGTGCATAATAGGGAGCGCGAGTGAGTGCATAATAGGGAGCGCGAGTGAGTGCATAATAGGGAGCGCGAGTGAGTGCATAATAGGGAGCGCGAGTGAGTGCATAATAGGGAGCGCGAGTGAGTGCATAATAGGGAGCGCGAGTGAGTGCATAATAGGGAGCGCGAGTGAGTGCATAATAGGGAGCGCGAGTGAGTGCATAATAGGGAGCGCGAGTGAGTGCATAATAGGGAGCGCGAGTGAGTGCATAATAGGGAGCGCGAGTGAGTGCATAATAGGGAGCGCGAGTGAGTGCATAATAGGGAGCGCGAGTGAGTGCATAATAGGGAGCGCGAGTGAGTGCATAATAGGGAGCGCGAGTGAGTGCATAATAGGGAGCGCGAGTGAGTGCATAATAGGGAGCGCGAGTGAGTGCATAATAGGGAGCGCGAGTGAGTGCATAATAGGGAGCGCGAGTGAGTGCATAATAGGGAGCGCGAGTGAGTGCATAATAGGGAGCGCGAGTGAGTGCATAATAGGGAGCGCGAGTGAGTGCATAATAGGGAGCGCGAGTGAGTGCATAATAGGGAGCGCGAGTGAGTGCATAATAGGGAGCGCGAGTGAGTGCATAATAGGGAGCGCGAGTGAGTGCATAATAGGGAGCGCGAGTGAGTGCATAATAGGGAGCGCGAGTGAGTGCATAATAGGGAGCGCGAGTGAGTGCATAATAGGGAGCGCGAGTGAGTGCATAATAGGGAGCGCGAGTGAGTGCATAATAGGGAGCGCGAGTGAGTGCATAATAGGGAGCGCGAGTGAGTGCATAATAGGGAGCGCGAGTGAGTGCATAATAGGGAGCGCGAGTGAGTGCATAATAGGGAGCGCGAGTGAGTGCATAATAGGGAGCGCGAGTGAGTGCATAATAGGGAGCGCGAGTGAGTGCATAATAGGGAGCGCGAGTGAGTGCATAATAGGGAGCGCGAGTGAGTGCATAATAGGGAGCGCGAGTGAGTGCATAATAGGGAGCGCGAGTGAGTGCATAATAGGGAGCGCGAGTGAGTGCATAATAGGGAGCGCGAGTGAGTGCATAATAGGGAGCGCGAGTGAGTGCATAATAGGGAGCGCGAGTGAGTGCATAATAGGGAGCGCGAGTGAGTGCATAATAGGGAGCGCGAGTGAGTGCATAATAGGGAGCGCGAGTGAGTGCATAATAGGGAGCGCGAGTGAGTGCATAATAGGGAGCGCGAGTGAGTGCATAATAGGGAGCGCGAGTGAGTGCATAATAGGGAGCGCGAGTGAGTGCATAATAGGGAGCGCGAGTGAGTGCATAATAGGGAGCGCGAGTGAGTGCATAATAGGGAGCGCGAGTGAGTGCATAATAGGGAGCGCGAGTGAGTGCATAATAGGGAGCGCGAGTGAGTGCATAATAGGGAGCGCGAGTGAGTGCATAATAGGGAGCGCGAGTGAGTGCATAATAGGGAGCGCGAGTGAGTGCATAATAGGGAGCGCGAGTGAGTGCATAATAGGGAGCGCGAGTGAGTGCATAATAGGGAGCGCGAGTGAGTGCATAATAGGGAGCGCGAGTGAGTGCATAATAGGGAGCGCGAGTGAGTGCATAATAGGGAGCGCGAGTGAGTGCATAATAGGGAGCGCGAGTGAGTGCATAATAGGGAGCGCGAGTGAGTGCATAATAGGGAGCGCGAGTGAGTGCATAATAGGGAGCGCGAGTGAGTGCATAATAGGGAGCGCGAGTGAGTGCATAATAGGGAGCGCGAGTGAGTGCATAATAGGGAGCGCGAGTGAGTGCATAATAGGGAGCGCGAGTGAGTGCATAATAGGGAGCGCGAGTGAGTGCATAATAGGGAGCGCGAGTGAGTGCATAATAGGGAGCGCGAGTGAGTGCATAATAGGGAGCGCGAGTGAGTGCATAATAGGGAGCGCGAGTGAGTGCATAATAGGGAGCGCGAGTGAGTGCATAATAGGGAGCGCGAGTGAGTGCATAATAGGGAGCGCGAGTGAGTGCATAATAGGGAGCGCGAGTGAGTGCATAATAGGGAGCGCGAGTGAGTGCATAATAGGGAGCGCGAGTGAGTGCATAATAGGGAGCGCGAGTGAGTGCATAATAGGGAGCGCGAGTGAGTGCATAATAGGGAGCGCGAGTGAGTGCATAATAGGGAGCGCGAGTGAGTGCATAATAGGGAGCGCGAGTGAGTGCATAATAGGGAGCGCGAGTGAGTGCATAATAGGGAGCGCGAGTGAGTGCATAATAGGGAGCGCGAGTGAGTGCATAATAGGGAGCGCGAGTGAGTGCATAATAGGGAGCGCGAGTGAGTGCATAATAGGGAGCGCGAGTGAGTGCATAATAGGGAGCGCGAGTGAGTGCATAATAGGGAGCGCGAGTGAGTGCATAATAGGGAGCGCGAGTGAGTGCATAATAGGGAGCGCGAGTGAGTGCATAATAGGGAGCGCGAGTGAGTGCATAATAGGGAGCGCGAGTGAGTGCATAATAGGGAGCGCGAGTGAGTGCATAATAGGGAGCGCGAGTGAGTGCATAATAGGGAGCGCGAGTGAGTGCATAATAGGGAGCGCGAGTGAGTGCATAATAGGGAGCGCGAGTGAGTGCATAATAGGGAGCGCGAGTGAGTGCATAATAGGGAGCGCGAGTGAGTGCATAATAGGGAGCGCGAGTGAGTGCATAATAGGGAGCGCGAGTGAGTGCATAATAGGGAGCGCGAGTGAGTGCATAATAGGGAGCGCGAGTGAGTGCATAATAGGGAGCGCGAGTGAGTGCATAATAGGGAGCGCGAGTGAGTGCATAATAGGGAGCGCGAGTGAGTGCATAATAGGGAGCGCGAGTGAGTGCATAATAGGGAGCGCGAGTGAGTGCATAATAGGGAGCGCGAGTGAGTGCATAATAGGGAGCGCGAGTGAGTGCATAATAGGGAGCGCGAGTGAGTGCATAATAGGGAGCGCGAGTGAGTGCATAATAGGGAGCGCGAGTGAGTGCATAATAGGGAGCGCGAGTGAGTGCATAATAGGGAGCGCGAGTGAGTGCATAATAGGGAGCGCGAGTGAGTGCATAATAGGGAGCGCGAGTGAGTGCATAATAGGGAGCGCGAGTGAGTGCATAATAGGGAGCGCGAGTGAGTGCATAATAGGGAGCGCGAGTGAGTGCATAATAGGGAGCGCGAGTGAGTGCATAATAGGGAGCGCGAGTGAGTGCATAATAGGGAGCGCGAGTGAGTGCATAATAGGGAGCGCGAGTGAGTGCATAATAGGGAGCGCGAGTGAGTGCATAATAGGGAGCGCGAGTGAGTGCATAATAGGGAGCGCGAGTGAGTGCATAATAGGGAGCGCGAGTGAGTGCATAATAGGGAGCGCGAGTGAGTGCATAATAGGGAGCGCGAGTGAGTGCATAATAGGGAGCGCGAGTGAGTGCATAATAGGGAGCGCGAGTGAGTGCATAATAGGGAGCGCGAGTGAGTGCATAATAGGGAGCGCGAGTGAGTGCATAATAGGGAGCGCGAGTGAGTGCATAATAGGGAGCGCGAGTGAGTGCATAATAGGGAGCGCGAGTGAGTGCATAATAGGGAGCGCGAGTGAGTGCATAATAGGGAGCGCGAGTGAGTGCATGAGCACACACTCCCTTCCCACTCTGGCTTGCATGTGTGCTTACTCCTCTCGCCTTCTGAAACGGGTCCTTTCAGATGGTTCAAAGCTCATGTTTGTCACTGCCATCATGGGAGCATGGTTGGTCAGTAACATGCCACTCAGATCTCCGTGCCTGCTGTGGTTGCTCAGCAACATGCCATGCCACTCCGTTCTCCTTGCTTCCTGTTTCTTCACTTCACCTCTCCTCCCAGATGGTACAAAGCTCATGGCGGCTGTCACACGCACGACAATCGATGGGGTCACAGGGAGGTGAGTGGGTGGGTGGCGTGGCGCTGTGGATGCTAGTGGTGGTGCTGGCGGTGCATGTTGTTCGTGGTGGGTGGCGCTGTGCATGCTAGTGGTGGTGCTGGCGGTGCATGCTAGTGGCTTCGTGCTTTGATGTTTTCACACGGCTAATGGCGGCTATCACACGGAGGGAGGTGACGAACGACCATTGACGGGGTCACAGGGAGGGAGGTGATCGGTGCATGTTGTTAGTGGTGCTGCTGTGCTGTGCTGTGCTGTGCTGTGCTGTGCTGTGCTGTGCTGTGCTGTGCTGTGCACCAGACCAGATAAAGGGTTCAAGCTTTGATGTTTCCACACGGCTCATGGCGTCTATCATACGAACGAATGACCATCGACGCCGGGGTCACAGGGAGGGAGGTGATCGGACTAGTCAATGCTTGCATTGCAGAGATAGTCAACGCAGTCAACGGCATCATCCCTGGAACGAAATCCCCTCTCCTCCCCCCACTCTCTCTCCCCCCACTTCCCTTCCCCCCCCCACCAACAGGGTGTCACTGGATGCACAGGATGATCGAGTGGGCACGTCGTTTGAAATACTCAATGCAGTCAATGCAGTCAACGACCGGCTGCGCTCTACCTTACCACCTTCCCGTCCCCCACACCCCTTCCCTGCCTCCCTCCCCCAACCTCCCCACAGAGTGTCACTGGATGCACAGGGAGATCGCATTGGCACGTCGTTTGAAATAGTCAATGCAGTCAATGCAGTCAACGGCCGGCTACTCTACAAATCTTTTACCCCCCGCCTTCATTGGTCCATTCCCGTCTCCCTCCCCCACCAACAGAGTGTCACTGGATGCACAGGGAGATCGCATTGGCACGTCGTTTGAAATAGTCAATGCAGTCAACGGCCGCCTGCGCTCCATTGGTTACTGGACCACAGAAAACGGCCTCTCGTCTTCTCTTGAGGTGAGGAGTGACACTGGGTGACCGTCGTAATGCCATGTCATTTGAAATAGTCAATGCAGTCAACGGCCGGCTGCGTTCCGTTGGCTACTGGACCACGGAGAGCGGCCTCGCGTCTTCCCTCGAGGTGAGGAGGAGTGGAGTGATACTAGCTAGCGGTACTCACACCAGCCTGCACTGTCCCTTGCATTCTTTATTTTGTTCCACGACCAGTCAGCAGGCATTTCCAAAACCTTCTGACTGTTTTCGAGCCAGACGACTTTTGAGACGTCTCAAAACCTTCTGACTGTTTTCGAGCCAGCCTCTCGCACTATGGTCCAGCTCTTTTTGAGGCGCCTCAGTTTTGAGTTTCGAGGCGCCTCAAAAGTAGACCTCTCTCACAATGGTCCAGCTCTTTTCCCGTGTCACACCCACCCACTCACACCAGCCCTCATCGACGAGCAAGGATTCGGGCCAATCAGTGCTGGCGGGTGTCATATGGCTGGGCGGGGGGTCTCCTTTGTAAGTCACAGACGGCTTTTGAGACGTCTCAAACGTTTTCCCGTGTCACACCCACCCACCCACACCAGCCCTCATCGACGAGCAAGGATTCGGGCCAATCAGTCCTGGCGGGTGTCATATGGCTGGGTGGGGGGTCTCCTTTGTAAGTCACAGACGGCTTTTGAGATGTCTCAAACGTTTTCCCGTGTCACACCCACCCACCCACACCAGCCCACATCGACGAGCAAGGATTCGGGCCAATCAGTCCTGGCAGGTGTCATATGGCCGGGCGGGGTCTCCTTTGTAAGTCACAGTTGCACACAGCTTCAAATGAGTTACAGGCATTCCTCGCAGATCTACACATCAAGTATATACACGTTATTCGAATCAATTTGTTCGAGCATTACGATGGTGTTGTTGTTCAGAGTAAGGGTATTCACTTGAGCGTTTTGCTTCTGCCCATCTTGAGCCAGCCTGCTCACCACAAGTGCCTTGCTTCTCTTGCATTCATTTCATTCTACGACCCCCCCCCCCCCCCCCCCCCTTCCTTTTTTTTCGCTCGCCTTATTTCTTTGTTCTTCCCAGCTGCCGCGTGGCTGGTTCCCACGAGCACACACGCCCTTGAAGATCGCCGTGCCATACAAGCAGGTAAGTCTGTCTGTCTGCACAGAGAGTCAAATGCTCATTCGTCTGATCCGCCCTGCTGCTGCCGCCTGGCTGGTTCTCACTTGCCCACATGTCTGTTGAAGTGTATTTTGAGGCGCCTCAAAATCCGCCCAGCTGCCGCCTGGCTGGTTCTCACGTGCCCACATGCCCGTGCAGGTCGCTGTGCCGTACAAGCACCAGGTAACATCCCCCTCCTGGGTAGGACAGGCAACTTTGCTGTGCTACAACGGGATGTTTCCGTGGGAGGAATTTCGTATGCCCCCTCCTTCTGCTCCATCTATCGCCCTCCCTCTATCTCACTCTGTCTCCCTCCAATCCTCCTTCATTCCCCGCCATCCTCTCCTCCCACAACAGGACTTCACGCAGTTCGTACAAATAGCCACGAACGACACCATCACCGGCTTCTGTCTGCGTGGAGGCCTTTCGAATGCTTCCCTCTCCCTCCTTTCCTCCCTCTTCCTCCCTACCCATCCAACCACTCTTGACCCACAACAGGACTTCACGCAGTTCGTGCAGATAGCCACCAACGACACCATCACCGGCTTCTGTGTGGAGGTCTTTCGGGCCGCAGTGGGGCTGCTGCCATACACGCTGGACTTCGAGTTTGTGCCCTTTGGCGTGGGGAACCTGTCTTTAAGTTACACCGACATGCTTAGACTGGTTGCCAACAAGGTAGGTAACAAAACAAAGGCTTTGGGCTGAGTGTTATGTTCGAGAGTGGGGCTGCTGCCGTGCACGCTGGACTTCGAGTTTGTGCCCTTTGGCGTTGGGAACCAGTCTCTCAGCTACACGGACATGCTCACGCTTGTTGCGAACAACGTGAGAAGGGGGAGAGAGGAGTTACCATCCCCATTAAAGCCTACAAAGAAAACCTCTTTCTGCCTCAATTCTCTTTCCTCGTTTTACTACCTTCCACCCTCTTTACTTGTCCGCTCAATTTCACCGTGGAGACATTTGATGGGGCAGTGGGGGACATCACGATCACACAGGAGCGCCAAAAGCTCGACTTTTGAGGCGCGTCAAAAGCTCGTCCCTCTTGCTCCTCTTGCTCCCTTTCCACCCTCCCTTCTTGTCCTCTCGACTTCACCCTGCAGACATTCGATGGGGCAGTGGGGGACATCACGATCACACAGGAGCGCCAAAAGCTCGACTTTTGAGGCGCGTCAAAAGCTCGTCCCTCTTGCTCCTCTTGCTCCCTTTCCACCCTCCCTTCTTGTCCTCTCGACTTCACCCTGCAGACATTCGATGGGGCAGTGGGGGACATCACGATCACACAGGAGCGCCAAAAGCTCGTGCAGTTCACACAGCCAGTGCAGGTACACCTTCCCTTCATTACAGGTACACCTTCCCTTCATTACAGGTACACCTTCCCTTCATTACAGGTACACCTTCCCTTCATTATAGGTACACCTTCCCTTCATTACAGGTACAACTTCCCTTCATTACAGGTACACCTTCCCTTCATTACAGGTACACCCAGTGCAGGGTACACCCTTAGCAATAACACAACTCTCTTATTCTGTCCTTCCATTCCGTTGCTTTCTCCGCGCCCACTGCTTGAGCTTCTCTCTCAATTGCACTACATAAGCGTTTTTTTTTTTTTTTTTTTTTTTTTTTTTTTTTTTTTTTTTTTTTTTTTTTTTTTTTTTAATTTTATTTCAGATATTGGTGACTCATGAGAATTCTTAGGTGTTTAATTACCCCCTTCCCCCTTTTCTTCCAGTCTGCCAGCCTGTCAATGGCGGTGGCACAAGAACCCACAAGCACGGGGGCGTGGTCGTTCCTGTCGCCCTTCTCGCTCACCATGTGGCTTTTGAATCAACTCTAAAGTCAGTTCATCCCGTTCACCCCGTTCCCCCCTTTCCTCCAGTCTGCCAGCCTGTCAATGGCGGTGGCCCAGGAGCCGACAAGCACGGGGGCGTGGTCGTTCCTGTCGCCCTTCTCGCTCACCATGTGGCTGGTGATCCTCGCATCCACCGCCTTCACCGTCGTCACCGTGTGGTTCCTCGAGAAGAATCAGAACGAGGACTTCTATGCCCACGGGAAGCTCTCCAGCCAGATCATTGATAGTGTCTGGTGAGGCCACTCCCCTCCCCTCCCCTCCCCCTCCCCTCCCTTTTTCTTCAACCCCAGCGTCTGGTAAGCCGCGTTGCCTGTTGGGTGGTATGAAGATGAATGGGTCCCTCCCTCCCAGGGAGGGTTGGTCGCCCTTCTCGCTCACCATGTGGCTGGTGATCCTCGCATCCACCGCACAAGGAAGCCTGTCTGTCGATGGCGGTAGCGCAGGACTCGCCAAGCACAGGCTTGAACACAATCGTCTCTCGCGGTGATACAATTGTTTTGGCCATACAACCTCCCTCAAGCTGGGACCCGGTCATATCCTCTCCCGTTTATGTGTCAATGCAAGCCCTATGAACCCAGTCTTATCCTCTCCTTCTCTGGTTCCCTCTCCCCCATGTTCCTGTATGTCAGACTCTTGTGCCCCCCCCCCTGTGTCGTACTTATCTTCTCGTGTGCTGTGCAGGTACGCTCTCACAACGATCGTCTTTGCTCAAGGTACGCCTTTGCTCAAGGTACGCCTTTGCTCAAGGTACGCCTTTGCTCAAGGTACGCCTTTGCTCAAGGTACGCCTTTGCTCAAGGTACGCCTTTGCTCAAGGTACGCCTTTGCTCAAGGTACGCCTTTGCTCAAGGTACGCCTTTGCTCAAGGTACACCTTTACTCAAGGTACGCCTTTGCTCAAGGTACGCCTTTGCACAAGGTACGCCTTTGCTCAAGGTACGCCTTTGCTCAAGGTACGCCTTTGCTCAAGGTACGCCTTTGCTCAAGGTACGCCTTTGCTCAAGGTACGCCTTTGCTCAAGGTACGCCTTTGCTCAAGGTACGCCTTTGCTCAAGGTACACCTTTACTCAAGGTACGCCTTTGCTCAAGGTACGCCTTTGCACAAGGTACGCCTTTGCTCAAGGTACGCCTTTGCTCAAGGTACGCCTTTGCTCAAGGTACGCCTTTGCTCAAGGTACGCCTTTGCTCAAGGTACGCCTTTGCTCAAGGTACGCCTTTGCTCAAGGTACGCCTTTGCTCAAGGTACGCCTTTGCTCAAGGTACGCCTTTGCTCACCGTTCATTCACATCACGCCAACAGGTTTAAGGGTTTAGGGTTTAGGGTTCATGATAACGTCTATGCATCACCATCAGCGTACATCACCACCCTGTGTGTGTGTGTGTGTGCTACGTCATGGGATGCTGACTCTTGCTTATATGCTACCATGTTTTGTCCCCGCTCTTTCTTCCCTCCAGCGTGTGTATGGGATGGGTGAAAACGCCCTCGACCCTACCATGGCATGTGATGTGATGTAATGTTGTGATGCGATGCGAGAAGACAAGCCCATTCAGACCACCATGGGCCGCGTGGCTATGATGTGCTGGTTCTTCCTCAGAAGCTATCTTCCCCCCCCTTTCGCCCCTTCATACCCCTTATTACCCTACTTGACGTGTGATGTGATGTGGTATGAGCAGACAAGCCCATTCAGACCACCATGGGGAGATTAGCCATGATGTGCTGGCTCTTCCTCGTGCTCATTGTCACTGCCAGTTACACCGCCTCCCTCTCCTCCATCCTCACCGTTCAGAACCTTGCTGCAACCCCTGATGTGAGCACCCCTAGCGCCCTATACCCTACATCCTAAACCCTGAACACAGAACTCGACCCATGTTGCTAGGTTAGTCCATCGGCAATCCACACCGCCGCCATGCCACCCCCTCACCGTCCTCCATCCATCCTTACCATTGGAAACCTCATTATCACCCCTGGTGCGAGCACTGTTTGTTGCCTGCTGCAACCATTTCTCATGCCATTTCCCACTCGTACCTTTTCAACTTGCTCCCTGTCTTGAACCCTTCAATATCGTTACTTCCGTCTGACCCGCTCTCACCTTCCGCTCATCCCTCTCATGCCTCCCTTTCTTCCTCCTCTCCCATCTCCCCTCTTCCCTCTCCTCTCTTACCTCTCTCCTCTTCCCTCTCCCCTCTCTCCTCTCCCCTCTTCCCTCTCCCCTCTTCCCTCTCCCTTCTCTCCTCTCCCTTCTCTACTAGGCTCCTGCTGTATGGGTCAATCCCCCCTTTCTCCAACCCCCACCCCCAACCCCTGCCATCCCCACTCCCAATCGACCCCCTTCACCCCCAACCCCAACCCTCTCCTTTTCCCCCCCCCCCTTCTTTCTTCTCCCCTCCTATGTGTTTTCATCCTGCTGTACCAATCGCACCACAGAGCCTTTCCGTGGCAATTTCTCTGAAGCTTCCTCTTGGTTACCACGAAGGTTCTTTCACCTACAATTACCTCCTGGCCATCGGCATCCCCGCTGTAAGCAGCCTCTCTAAACTCCTAGTTCCTCTATCTCAAACTCCTTTCATAAGCACTCTCTCTGATTCCCACAATCTTATCCCTCGAGCTCTCGCTATAAGCACTCTTTATCCCCTCTGTAAGCAAGCCATCTCATCCCCACTATAGGCGCTTAAGCTGTCCCCGTCCATCCTCTTCCCAAAACCTTGCAACTCCCCCCCTCCCCACAACCACAACCCCTCCTCCTCCCCTCAACAGTCAATGCTGCCTCCGCCCAGTCCCTAGTGGAACGGATTACATGGCTGAATTCGTGGACACCCTAGTTCCACCCAGCTGACGTGAACGCTCACAACTCCTTCTGCCCCCATTCCTTTCCCCTCCTCTCCACCCCCTTCCCCCATCCTCGTCCATCCCCCATCTCCCCTGTGTTAGAATACCTCTATTCAATTTATCCTGCATATTCTAGTTTGCTTGTCTAGAGTTACGCACCCAAACCTGATTTGGGTGTACAACTGGGGTTTACCCTAGTTGTGGTTTGGTTCCAACCTTGGCCAAAATGTTTGGCCCCCAAAAGTTGGGTTAGAGAATTATTGGAGCCCTATGATTATTGGAGGCTCCAATAATTCCTCCAACCCAATTATTGGTGGGGGCCAATAATCTTGGCCACGCTCCCAACCAACCCCACTCTCCTAGCTCAACTATGTATACCCCTGCTTTTCATTCTAAGATCATCCTTTCAATTTTCAGTCCTCATCCTTTCACAGGATTCTAACATGTTATCAGAGCATTTTGGCTCACGCCCCTTCCGATCCTAGGACCATGTGTCTTGCGTGTACTTCCACGCTTGCTCCGCCTTTCGCGAGACCATCGGCTGCCTTGCGCAAGGCCACCCTCCCGTCTCGTCCAGCAGCCGCGCGATTTTATGGCGATTTCGGCGCCATACGCCCGCCGAATCGCAACCGTCGCGGCCGTCGCGACCAGCAGCCGCGCGGACGCGATTTCGCGGCGATTTCGCCGCCATACGCCCGCCGAATCGCGACCGTCGCGGCCGCCGCGACCAGCAGCCGCGCGGACGCGATTTCGCGGCGATTTCGCCGCCATACGCCCGCCGAATCGCGACCGTCGCGACCTTCGCGACCAGCAGCCGCGCGGACGCGATTTCGCGGCGATTTCGCCGCCATACGCCCGCCGAATCGCGACCGTCGCGGCCGTCGCGACCAGCAGCCGCGCGGACGCGATTTCGCGGCGATTTCGCCGCCATACGCCCGCCGAATCGCGACCGTTGCGGCCGTCGTGAATAGCAGCCGCGCGGACGCGATTTTGCGGCGTTTTCGCATCGCCACCGCTGCGCGGCCGTCGCCTCCGCCCTCGCGCCTAACGGCGCCCTGCTACCGTCGCTTCCGCCCTCGCGCTTAACGGCGCTTCCCCCTTCCCCCTCGCTTCCTCCTCCCTCGGGCCATCCGGCCCTCCTCCCCCTTCCCCCTCGCTTCCTCCTCCCTCGGGCCATCCGGCCCTCCTCCCCCTTCCCCCTCGCTTCCTCCTCCCTCGGGCCATCCAGCCCTCCTCCCCCTTCCCCCTCGCTTCCTCCTCCTTCGGGCCATCCGGCCCTCCTCCCCCTTCCCCCTCGCTTCCTCCTCCCTCGGGCCATCCGGCCCTCCTCCCCCTTCCCCCTAGCTTCCTCCTCCCTCGGGCCATCCAGCCCTCCTCCCCCTTCCCCCTCGCTTCCTCCTCCCTCGGGCCATCCGGCCCTCCTCCCCCTTCCCCCTCGCTTCCTCCTCCCTCGGGCCATCCGGCCCTCCTCCCCCTTCCCCCTAGCTTCCTCCTCCCTCGGGCCATCCAGCCCTCCTCCCCCTTCCCCCTCGCTTCCTCCTCCCTCGGGCCATCCGGCCCTCCTCCCCCTTCCCCCTCGCTTCCTCCTCCCTCGGGCCATCCAGCCCTCCTCCCCCTTCCCCCTCGCTTCCTCCTCCCTCGGGCCATCCAGCCCTCCTCCCCCTTCCCCCTCGCTTCCTCCTCCCTCGGGCCATCCAGCCCTCCTCCCCCTTCCCCCTCGCTTCCTCCTCCCTCGGGCCATCCGGCCCTCCTCCCCCTTCCCCCTAGCTTCCTCCTCCCTCGGGCCATCCAGCCCTCCTCCCCCTTCCCCCTCGCTTCCTCCTCCCTCGGGCCATCCGGCCCTCCTCCCCCTTCCCCCTCGCTTCCTCCTCCCTCGGGCCATCCGGCCCTCCTCCCCTTCCCCCTAGCTTCCTCCTCCCTCGGGCCATCCAGCCCTCCTCCCCCTTCCCCCTCGCTTCCTCCTCCCTCGGGCCATCCGGCCCTCCTCCCCCTTCCCCCTCGCTTCCTCCTCCCTCGGGCCATCCAGCCCTCCTCCCCCTTCCCCTCGCTTCCTCCTCCCTCGGGCCATCCAGCCCTCCTCCCCCTTCCCCCTCGCTTCCTCCTCCCTCGGGCCATCCAGCCCTCCTCCCCCTTCCCCCTCGCTTCCTCCTCCCTCGGGCCATCCGGCCCTCCTCCCCCTTCCCCCTAGCTTCCTCCTCCCTCGGGCCATCCAGCCCTCCTCCCCCTTCCCCCTCGCTTCCTCCTCCCTCGGGCCATCCGGCCCTCCTCCCCCTTCCCCCTAGCTTCCTCCTCCCTCGGGCCATCCAGCCCTCCTCCCCCTTCCCCCTCGCTTCCTCCTCCCTCGGGCCATCCGGCCCTCCTCCCCCTTCCCCCTCGCTTCCTCCTCCCTCGGGCCATCCAGCCCTCCTCCCCCTTCCCCCTCGCTTCCTCCTCCCTCGGGCCATCCAGCCCTCCTCCCCCTTCCCCCTCGCTTCCTCCTCCCTCGGGCCATCCAGCCCTCCTCCCCCTTCCCCCTCGCTTCCTCCTCCTTCGGGCCATCCAGCCCTCCTCCCCCTTCCCCCTCGCTTCCTCCTCCCTCGGGCCATCCGGCCCTCCTCCCCCTTCCCCCTAGCTTCCTCCTCCCTCGGGCCATCCAGCCCTCCTCCCCCTTCCCCCTCGCTTCCTCCTCCCTCGGGCCATCCGGCCCTCCTCCCCCTTCCCCCTCGCTTCCTCCTCCCTCGGGCCATCCAGCCCTCCTCCCCCTTCCCCCTCGCTTCCTCCTCCCTCTTGCCATCCGGCCCTCCTCCCCCTTCCCCCTCGCTTCCTCCTCCCTCGGGCCATCCGGCCCTCCTCCCCCTTCCCCCTAGCTTCCTCCTCCCTCGGGCCATCCAGCCCTCCTCCCCCTTCCCCCTCGCTTCCTCCTCCCTCGGGCCATCCGGCCCTCCTCCCCCTTCCCCCTCGCTTCCTCCTCTCTCGGGCCATCCAGCCCTCCTCCCCCTTCCCCCTCGCTTCCTCCTCCCTCGGGCCATCCAGCCCTCCTCCCCCTTCCCCCTCGCTTCCTCCTCCCTCGGGCCATCCAGCCCTCCTCCCCCTTCCCCCTCGCTTCCTCCTCCCTCGGGCCATCCGGCCCTCCTCCCCCTTTCCCCCTAGCTTCCTCCTCCCTCGGGCCATCCAGCCCTCCTCCCCCTTCCCCCTCGCTTCCTCCTCCCTCGGGCCATCCGGCCCTCCTCCCCCTTCCCCCTAGCTTCCTCCTCCCTCGGGCCATCCAGCCCTCCTCCCCCTTCCCCCTCGCTTCCTCCTCCCTCGGGCCATCCGGCCCTCCTCCCCCTTCCCCCTCGCTTCCTCCTCCCTCGGGCCATCCAGCCCTCCTCCCCCTTCCCCCTCGCTTCCTCCTCCCTCGGGCCATCCAGCCCTCCTCCCCCTTCCCCCTCGCTTCCTCCTCCCTCGGGCCATCCAGCCCTCCTCCCCCTTCCCCCTCGCTTCCTCCTCCCTCGGGCCATCCATCCCTCCTCCCCCTTCCCCCTCGCTTCCTCCTCCCTCGGGCCATCCAGCCCTCCTCCCCCTTCCCCCTCGCTTCCTCCTCCCTCGGGCCATCCAGCCCTCCTCCCCCTTCCCCCTCGCTTCCTCCTCCCTCGGGCCATCCAGCCCTCCTCCCCCTTCCCCCTCGCTTCCTCCTCCCTCGGGCCATCCAGCCCTCCTCCCCCTTCCCCCTCGCTTCCTCCTCCCTCGGGCCATCCAGCCCTCCTCCCCCTTCCCCCTCGCTTCCTCCTCCCTCGGGCCATCCAGCCCTCCTCCCCCTTCCCCCTCGCTTCCTCCTCCCTCGGGCCATCCAGCCCTCCTCCCCCTTCCCCCTCGCTTCCTCCTCCCTCGGGCCATCCGGCCCTCCTCCCCCTTCCCCCTCGCTTCCTCCTCCCTCGGGCCATCCAGCCCTCCTCCCCCTTCCCCCTCGCTTCCTCCTCCCTCGGGCCATCCGGCCCTCCTCCCCCTTCCCCCTAGCTTCCTCCTCCCTCGGGCCATCCAGCCCTCCTCCCCCTTCCCCCTCGCTTCCTCCTCCCTCGGGCCATCCAGCCCTCCTCCCCCTTCCCCCTCGCTTCCTCCTCCCTCGGGCCATCCGGCCCTCCTCCCCCTTCCCCCTAGCTTCCTCCTCCCTCGGGCCATCCAGCCCTCCTCCCCCTTCCCCCTCGCTTCCTCCTCCCTCGGGCCATCCGGCCCTCCTCCCCCTTCCCCTAGCTTCCTCCTCCCTCGGGCCATCCAGCCCTCCTCCCCCTTCCCCCTCGCTTCCTCCTCCCTCGGGCCATCCAGCCCTCCTCCCCCTTTCCCCTCGCTTCCTCCTCCCTCGGGCCATCCAGCCCTCCTCCCCCTTCCCCCTCGCTTCCTCCTCCCTCGGGCCATCCGGCCCTCCTCCCCCTTCCCCCTCGCTTCCTCCTCCCTCGGGCCATCCAGCCCTCCTCCCCCTTCCCCCTCGCTTCCTCCTCCCTCGGGCCATCCAGCCCTCCCCCCCCCTTCCCCCTCGCTTCCTCCTCCCTCGGGCCATCCAGCCCTCCTCCCCCTTCCCCCTAGCTTCCTCCTCCCTCGGGCCATCCGGCCCTCCTCCCCCTTCCCCCTAGCTTCCTCCTCCCTCGGGCCATCCGGCCCTCCTCCCCCTTCCCCCTCGCTTCCTCCTCCCTCGGGCCATCCGGCCCTCCTCCCCCTTTCCCCTCGCTTCCTCCTCCCTCGGGCCATCCAGCCCTCCTCCCCCTTCCCCCTCGCTTCCTCCTCCCTCGGGCCATCCGGCCCTCCTCCCCCTTCCCCCTCGCTTCCTCCTCCCTCGGGCCATCCAGCCCTCCTCCCCCTTCCCCCTCGCTTCCTCCTCCCTCGGGCCATCCAGCCCTCCTCCCCCTTCCCCCTCGCTTCCTCCTCCCTCGGGCCATCCAGCCCTCCTCCCCCTTCCCCCTCGCTTCCTCCTCCCTCGGGCCATCCGGCCCTCCTCCCCCTTCCCCCTAGCTTCCTCCTCCCTCGGGCCATCCAGCCCTCCTCCCCCTTCCCCCTCGCTTCCTCCTCCCTCGGGCCATCCGGCCCTCCTCCCCCTTCCCCCTCGCTTCCTCCTCCCTCGGGCCATCCAGCCCTCCTCCCCCTTCCCCCTCGCTTCCTCCTCCCTCGGGCCATCCGGCCCTCCTCCCCCTTCCCCCTAGCTTCCTCCTCCCTCGGGCCATCCAGCCCTCCTCCCCCTTCCCCCTCGCTTCCTCCTCCCTCGGGCCATCCGGCCCTCCTCCCCCTTCCCCCTAGCTTCCTCCTCCCTCGGGCCATCCAGCCCTCCTCCCCCTTCCCCCTCGCTTCCTCCTCCCTCGGGCCATCCAGCCCTCCTCCCCCTTCCCCCTCGCTTCCTCCTCCCTCGGGCCATCCAGCCCTCCTCCCCCTTCCCCCTCGCTTCCTCCTCCCTCGGGCCATCCATCCCTCCTCCCCCTTCCCCCTCGCTTCCTCCTCCCTCGGGCCATCCAGCCCTCCTCCCCCTTCCCCCTCGCTTCCTCCTCCCTCGGGCCATCCGGCCCTCCTCCCCCTTCCCCCTCGCTTCCTCCTCCCTCGGGCCATCCAGCCCTCCCCCCCCCTTCCCCCTCGCTTCCTCCTCCCTCGGGCCATCCAGCCCTCCCGCTGCCGCCGCCATTCCCCTTCCGCCGCCGCAGCCCTCCCGCTGCCGCCGCCGTCCCCCTTCGCAGCCGCAGCCCTCCCGTTGCCGCTGCCGTCCCCCTTCCGCCGCCGCAGCTCTCCCGCTGCCGCCGCCGTTCCCCTTCCGCCGCCGCAGCTCTCCCGCTGCCGCCGCCGTTCCCCTTCCGCCGCCGCAGCTCTCCCGCTGCCGCCGCCATCCCCCTTCCGCCGCCGCAGCTCTCCCGCTGCCGCCGCCGTCTCCCTTCGCCGCCGCAGCCCTCCCGTTGCCGCTGCCGTCCCCCTTCCGCCGCCGCAGCTCTCCCGCTGCCGCCGCCGTTCCCCTTCCGCCGCCGCAGCTCTCCCGCTGCCGCCGCCGTTCCCCTTCCGCCGCCGCAGCTCTCCCGCTGCCGCCGCCGTTCCCCTTCCGCCGCCGCAGCCCTCCCGCTGCCGCCGCCGTCCCCCTTCGCAGCCGCAGCCCTCCCGCTGCCGTCGCCGTCCCCCTTAGCCGCCGCAGCCCTCTCGCTGCCGCTGCCGTCTCCCTTCGCAGCCGCGGCTCTCCTGCTGCCGCCGCCATCCCCCTTCCGCCGCCGCAGCTCTCCCGCTGCCGCCGCCGTTCCCCTTCCGCCGCCGCAGCTCTCCCGCTGCCGCCGCCGTTCCCCTTCCGCCGCCGCAGCCCTCCCGCTGCCGCCGCCGTCCCCCTTCGCAGCCGCAGCCCTCCCGCTGCCGTCGCCGTCCCCCTTAGCCGCCGCAGCCCTCTCGCTGCCGCTGCCGTCTCCCTTCGCAGCCGCGGCTCTCCCGCTGCCGCCGCCATCCCCCTTCCGCCGCCGCAGCTCTCCCGCTGCCGCCGCCGTCTCCCTTCGCCGCCGCAGCCCCCGTTGCCGCTGCCGTCCCCCTTCCGCTGCCGCAGCCTTCTCCCTTCTCCTTCACAGCCCTCCTGCTGTCACCGCACGGCACGTCACCTTCGGCTGGCCTGCATCCTCACTTACGACAGGCCCCCCCCCTCCTCCCCCTTCATGCTTCAGGGGTTGTCCCGTCTCTCATTCAAGCCTCCTAGCTTTATGCAGGCTAAGGGGTTGTGTTAGAATACCTCTATTCAATTTATCCTGCATATTCTAGTTTGCTTGTCTAGAGTTACGCACCCAAACCTGATTTGGGTGTACAACTGGGGTTTACCCTAGTTGTGGTTTGGTTCCAACCTTGGCCAAAATGTTTGGCCCCCAAAAGTTGGGTTAGAGAATTATTGGAGCCCTATGATTATTGGAGGCTCCAATAATTCCTCCAACCCAATTATTGGTGGGGGCCAATAATCTTGGCCACGCTCCCAACCAACCCCACTCTCCTAGCTCAACTATGTAAACCCCTGCTTTTCATTCTAAGATCAATCCTTTCAATTTTCAGTCCTCATCCTTTCACAGGATTCTAACACCCTGCCCCCTCCTTCGCCCCCCCCCCCTCAAACAGTCGGTGTTGTTCCCGCTGAAATCCATGGCTTAGTTCGCTGATGCCCTGCGGTCAGGACTCAGGCAAGGTGAAGGTGGTGATTGATTGATGAGGCTCACACAATCATGTTGCCCCCACTCACCGCCCCACCCCTCCCCGCACCCACCAGTCTGTGCTGTTCCCGCTGAAATCCATGGCTGAGTTCGCAGACGCCCTGGGGTCGGGCAAGGTGAAGGCTGTGATTGACGAGGCGCCGTATTTGGACGTGTTCAACTCGCGCTTCTGCAGCTACACGCGCGTGAAAGAACAGCTCTCCACCTTCAACTGGGGATTCGTGAGTGCTGCTGCCTATCCTGCTTGATGCATAGGGCGTGGTGTATGTGGCTTGATGCATGGGGAATAGGTGAAGGCGGTGATTGACGAGGCGCCGTATCTGGACGTGTTCAACTCGCGCTTCTGCAGCTACACACGCGTGAAAGAGCAGCTCTCCACCTTCAACTGGGGATTCGTGAGTGAAGCTAATTGACATGGGCACATGACATGACGCTTTGTCCACCTCTTTCCCCCTGCTAACTCTTTCCCCTTCCCCCTTCTTCCCTTCTCCCCTGCTCCCCTGCTCCCCTGCTCCCTTGTCCCTCCCCCCCTTCACCCTCCAGGCCTTCCACAAGGACATGCGCATGCCCTATGATCTCTCCATCGCCATCTCAAAGCCTTCCCCACTCCCCTCCCCTCCCATCCTGCCCTCCCCGGCCTCCCCCCCAGGCCTTCCACAAGGACATGTGTGGACCCTACAACCTCTCCACCGCCATTTCAAAGCTGTCCCCCTGTCCCCCTGTCCCCGTCCCCCTGTCCCCCTGTCCCCCTCGTCAACTCCCCACTTCCTCGCAACCCCCCAAACCCCCAGGCCTTCCACAAGGACATGCGCGTGCCATACGACCTATCCATCGCCATTTCAAAGCTGGCGCAGTTGGGGCAGCTGCAGAGCATGCAGAACTTCTGGATCAAGGGCTCCACCTCCTGCTCCCTCGGGCCCTCCGTCTCCTCTACCAGCCTCGGCCCCGAAAACTTCTGGACGCTCCACCTGCTACCACTCCCTTGCTGACATTTTTTCCGTCTCCCTGCTCCCCTGCCCCCCTGCTCCCCTGCCCCCCTGCCCATCCCCCACCCCTCACCACAGGCGTTCCACAAGGACATGCGGGTACCCTATGACCTATCCATTGCCATTTCAAAGCTGGCGCAGTCGGGGCAGCTGCAGAGCATGCACGACTTCTGGATCAAGGGCTCCACCTCCTGCTCCCTCGGGCCCTCCGTGTCCTCTACCAGCCTCGGCCCCGAAAACTTCTGGACACTTTTTGTGATCTACAGCGCGGTGGCGGTGCTGTGCTGCCTTGTGTACTGCGCCATGTCGGCTTATACGGGGTACAGGATTCTGAGTTATTGCAAGAAGCTGGAGAAGGAGCTGAAGGAGGAGTTGGAGGGAAGCAAAGCAGGGTGAGTTGTGTTTAGCAAGGTGAGGAAAAAGGTGTTCTGCACTGTGCCAGGTTGGCTTATACGGGGTACAGGATTCTGAGCTACTGCCCGAAGCTGGAGGAGCTGAAGGAGGAATTGGAGGGAGGCAAAGCAGGGTGAGTACAAATTACATAGCAATCCGGGCTTACCTCAAGGTGAAAAGACACAGGGAGTTGCATCTGTGCACTATGCCAGGTTGGCTTATATGGGGTACAGGATTCTGAGCTACTGCCAGAAGCTGGAAAAGGATTCTGATGTGCAGTCCTCTCCCCCCCCTAAACCATAAACCCTCCCTCCCCTGCCCACGTTCCTCCCCTGTGCTGGTTCTCACTGCAGGTCCGCCAGGAAGGGGAAGGCAGAGGGGGAAATCACCGGGGGCGACAGCAGCAGCAAGGGAGCGAAGGGGGGTGAGGGAGGCGGGGTGTGGGGCAGCATTCGTTCCGGGCTGCAGACGATGATGGAGATCAACTTCTTTCATGCTCTCCTCGTGGGGCTGGGGTGGAAGGACCCCCCTGACGTGCACTCCGCTCTGGTCACCAACCAGCTGCAGCACATTGACTTTGATAACTACGGTGCTGGGGGTGGTTTTGGTGGTGGTGGTGCTGCTGGTGGTGGTTTCGGTGCTGCTGCTGCTGGTGGGTTTGATGCTGCTGGTGGGTTTGATGCTGCTGGTGGGTTAGGCGGTGGTGCTGGGGAGGAAGGGGAGAGAGGGGGTGTGTTTGCCCGAGTTGGTAGCATGGGTGGGAGGAGTTTCAAGAACACTGAAGGCACCACCACCAGCAGCACAAGTCGACTTGTGATGCGTCTCAGAAGTTTTGGACAAGACGAAGGGGAGAGAGGGGAGAGAGCCGGAGGAGCATTCGACCGACTTGGAAGCATGGGTGGGAGGAGCTTCAGCAATGCGGACCGACCGACCAGCAGCAGCAGCGGCAATCGTCCCAAGTCAAGCAAGTCACTCAAGAGGCGGTTTTCCAGGGGAGCCGCCGCTTCTCGGGCAGACTCGTTCAAGAACAATGATTTCCGGGCAGGCTCGTTCTGGTCAACCTCGTTCAAAGCAGATGCTTACCAAAAGCAACGGTCTTTCCAGCAGTCGAAACTTGGCAAGGAGGGGGCGAGAGAGGCGAGAGACGCAAGAGAGGCGAGAGACGCAAGGGAGGGGAGGGAGTCAATTGAGTCAACGCCAGTCAAGAGAGCAGCGTCGTTCAGGGCGGAGTCAATGCGGTCAGCCTCGTTCAAACAGTCCGAGGCTTTCCAAGGGGGCCCTGTGGCCCGGGCTGGAGGGTTCCGAAGCGCTTCTGTGCCCGGAGGTGAAGGGATCAGGGAGACGGCGGAAGAGCGGGAGCAGCAGAGGCAGGAGAATGGGCAGGAAGGGAGGGTGAAGCTGTTTGTACGGCTGGAGAGTAAGAAAGGCAGCTTCAGGAAAATGGAGAGTTTTAAGAGGCCTGGGTCTGGTGGGACTGGTGGGATTGGTGGGTCGAGTGGATCTCGAGATAGGGATGGGGCTGGGAGCCTGGGTGCTGGAGCGGGCTTGGCTCAGTCGGGCAGCTTGAGCAAAATGGGCAGCTTTAAGAGGCCGGGTGGTTCGATCCGTGCTCCTAGCTTCAAACGCCCTGCTAGTAGCACAGAGGAGGGGAATGGGAGGGACGGGAATGGGATAGCAGAGCAGGTTCAGCAGCAGCCACCGCAGCAGCAACAGCCGCCGCAGCAGCAACAGCCTCAGCAGGGACCGATAATTAAGCCGGAGGGGCTGTTTAAGAAGCTAGTCAGCTTTAAGGGGGCTGAGGCTGGGTCGAGCACTGGTGGAAGTGCTGGGGGTACGAACAGAGGGGGAGTGGAGGGAGGGCCAGCAGGAGGGGGGGCAGTCTCAAGCAGCAGGAGGAGGAGGAGGAGGAGGAGGAAATGGAGGGGGGAGAGGCCAAGGGGGTGGGGGAGATACGAGGCCCGACATCAGGTTTGGCAGTGGTGCGAGGGACAAGTTTGAAGGGGGACCGATTTGGCGATCAACCTCCTGGGGGAAGAAAGGGTGAGATGGTAGCTTGAATACGGGAGAATCAGGAGGAGGGGGGGAGGGGGGGGGGGGGGGGGTGACAAGGGCCAAGGCCCAACATCAGGTTATTTACCATATGGTGCGAGGGACAAGTTTGATTGGGACCCCAAAGATTGATTTACATCAGCTTCCGGGGTGACGAAAGGGTGACATGGATGTGAGGTGCTGGTGGGACTGGGGGCGTGAGTTGTGGTGGCGGGGGGAGGAGCAGGGCCAGGGGGTGCGGGCGGGGGAGACTAGGCCAGGTGTTCTCTTGTTTGAGGGGCCTCCATAGTGAGACTCCCTCGTACACAAATCGAGACTCGAAATTAGATAGCGCCACAAGAGCTGAAAGTCTTTGAGTGTGCTTCAAAGTTTGAGCGTCCTAAATTCCCTACCAAGTTTCTTCGAATGGATGCACCTCCTGACCTGAGTTTTTCTTCTTCCAGCTTGTTGGACATTACAAAATTTTTACAAATTTTATGGGTATGGTATGTGTGTCTAAGTGCCCGTGTGTTCTTTTTTTTGGTTTGTTGTAACCAGGCTCAATTTAATTGGATGTGCGTTCCATTTTCAACTCATCATCCATTGTGAGCCTCAATACATGACTCATGTCTGATGTGGCTATTGCTTAGGGTACATTCCGCTTTGGACCTGGTCCCAAAGAATGTGTCCGAATCGATTGTGACGCGTACGTACAGCATACCATAATCACCCGGACATACCACCCGCCGAAATTGAACACCCCCCGGGTGGCTTGTGCGGGGTGGGTGCTATAGCGGACCTCGTTTCTACTATACCCCCCTTTTGGGCCGATCCGGTATAAGACCCGGGGGGGGGGGTGGTATGTACGGAAAAAATTGCTGTTTTCGCCTAAATTTTGCGCAGGGACGTGACCGCACCAGCGAGGCTGCTAAGCCTGTTGCGGACTCTCGCCTCTGTGACTGCATGAATCCTCGTCGAGCGACGGGGGGTGTGTTTTCGACCAATCAGGGCATGACAGAGGGCCTGTTGGAGCTTGCAATGTGGCAGCTTCCACTCGAGGCTAAGGGCGTGTGCACCAGGGCCCAAAATTGGTTTAGGCCTACTCTTACAAATCAGGATACCAGTGTCAGAATGTGATGGTTGTTTGTGTAGCCTGCAGTGGGGTACTCTATAGCGAGTACAGCCCTTATAGGGTTTGCATATATGTATCCCTATGCTTGTTAGTCAAAACCCTTCTTGCCTGTTTCTCGTTTTGGCCTAGCATTTTGACATGGTATCAGAGCGAAGGTCTCGGGTTCGAATCCCGGTGTGTGCACCTCGGGCATCCCAGTGCGGGGGGGTGTCAGAGGTCCACTGGTGATCCCCGATTGATCCTAGGGAAGGGTTACAGGCACGTTGGCCTTGGGGGTTATGGGCGCACTCACCCGCTACACAAACAAGCCCTTTTATCCCAGTGGTTAGTGGCTGGAATTCTGACATGCTATCAGAGCGGGTCGACCCTCCTGGGTCGATCCTGTGGGTGGTCCCACCAGAAGCTTCCGCTGTTGTTTCCTGCTGTTTCCTGCCTGCCGCGCGCTCCGGGCGCGCAGCGATTTTTTCTTCCCGCCGCGCGCCCGGGGCGCGCGGCGGTTTTCTGCCCCGTCACTCGGCGCGTCGCCCCCGGGAGGCGCTGCGACGGGCGACGGGGACCCGCGCGTCGCCCCCCGTCGCCCGTCGTGGCCTGCGCGCGGCCCGTACAGCCGGCGCGCGGCCCGTACGGGCTGCGCCAGGCCCGCGCGCGGCCCGTACGGGCTGCGCCAGGCCCGCGCGCGGCCCGTACGGGCTGCGCCAGGCCCGCGCGCGGCCCGTACGGGAAGCGCCAGGCCCGCGCGCGGCTCGGGCCGCCTGCGCGCGGTTCGGGCGGCTATGCCAGGCCCGTGGGCGGCCCGTTCCTCGCTGCCCCTGCCCTCCCCACTGTCCCCCGTGCTTCTACTGGCGCCCCACCCCTCCTACAGCCCGTTCTCCTGAATTAGGGTTTGGGGGTGAGGGGTATGGGGGTGAAGCCACTGAGTGCCGTTCCCCTCCTCCTCCTCCTTCTCCGTCTCCCACTGCTGCAGCTGCCGCTGAGGGGGGTGGGTGTGTGGGAGCCGAGGGAGTGGCGCTAGGGGGTGTAGTGTGAGCGGTGCTAGGGGAACAGCAGGGGGTGTGTAAAAAGGGGGTGGGACAGCTGGGGGAAGTTGAGAGGAGGCCGTCGACTTGTCGTCCGCAGCGCCTGAAGTCCAGGGAGCCACGACCCCCTGTGGCCTGAGTAGTCCGGGGCTCTGCGCCCGGTAGCTACAGTGTGTGCACTCCTGGGAGCACAGCGAGCCAGCTGCGACCCCCTGTCGCCGTGTAGTCCGGGTTTAGCCTGGTAGCGTCAGTGCGGCGTACTCCTGCTGCCTGTGTGTCTGCAGCTTCAGCCGTCGCCTCTCATCTTCTTGCTCCCACAGTTTCTCCTCCTCCTCACTTGCCCTCTGTGATAGCCTCTAGCTTTGCTTATAATTGTGAACTATTGCTCTGTCTGCTTGTTATGTTGATTGTACCCCACTTTGACTATGGGGGTGTGTCAGAATGTGATGGTTGTCTAGCCTGCAGTGGGGTACTCTATAGCGAGTACAGCCCTTATAGGGTTTGCATATATGTATCCCTATGCTTGTTAGTCAAAACCCTTCTTGCCTGTTTCTCGTTTTGGCCTAGCATTTTGACAACCAGCCCCTCTTTGAACAGACCTCTAGGGTAGATTTTTCCGTAGCCTGATTTCAGCAGGGTAACTCAGGCACTAGGCTGATTTGAGCAGGGTAGTTTTGGGCCAAACCTGTTTTGGTTCCTCGCGCCATCTGGTGGATCGGGCTCTTCAGTGGGCGTTGTGGAGCTGAAAATTGAGAATGGTTGAGAGTGAGGGCCAAGCGAGAGACCCCCTCGTAGAGAACGAGCCTCTGGCTGACTCTCGGGGGCCGTTCCTTGCATGCGGCAGGGAGAGCATGGCCAGCAAGGCAGGACTGCTGCTGCAATTTGCAGTCAAGGACAGCTTGAACCTGTCCTTGACAGCGAATTCTGCTGTGGTGGCGGTGGGCGTGGCTCTGGGTGGCAAGATTCGAGAATGACTTGGCAATCCTACGGGAGAAACGACACATGGGGCAACATGGCGCGTTTCCGACTGGTGTTTGTGGGGGTGTGGTACATTTCGTCACCACGCGAACTGTGGTCTGATTCGCGCTAGGGAATATTCTGTAAAAGGGTAATGTACACCCAACCCTGATTCCGTCAGGCTAACTATAAAACCTATCAGGGTAAAACAAAACATGCTCTTTTGAGAGAAGGGTAACTATTCGGCATTCCTGATTTCAGCAGGGTAATCCTGAAAAAACGGCCGGCCCCCAGGGTAATCAGGGTGTTTTACCCTGATATTTTGAGCCCTGGTGTGCACTAGGGGTTCGAACTTCTGTCTAAGTTCGAACTTTTAGCGAGGTTCTACTCGGTGCAAAGCGGTGAATGTTCGAACTTTGACAAATTTCGCCCAAAGTGCACACGCCCTAACGTTATCGCCTCATCCTCGGTTTTGCGCACCCAACCAACAATCTACCACCGCAGCAAGCATGTACATTTTGTTCCCAACCGTTTCTGCTTTTTAAAAAATGTACATTATAAAAAGACCCGGGTGTTATGTAGCTTTTTCCCATGAAAAGACCCCCCCCCCCCTTTTTTTGATGTAGTTATCATAGCACCCTAGGGTGGTATGTCCGGGTGATTACGGTATGCTGCCAGGTGTCAGAAAGCCGGGCCGCCCGTGGTTGTCGCCAAATGTATTTATCATTGGGTGACGTGAAACGCGGAACAGTCGCCAGCTAATTGCAACACATTCCATCTGTCGCACGCGGTGCCAAATGTCAACTCATGTTGCATGTATCTAGACAACATCTCAAGGAATCCGCAATCCCCATCAACGCGTACACTGCCTCGTGATTGGTCGAGACGTCTCACACGGAATTATTGACAGGGCCGCGCACGCCCCGTCAGCTCGCGGGCCTGGCGGTGTTGGTGTATGTGCTGCGCATGGATGAGTGGCCCAGCTTATGAGCTGACCAATCACAATCGGTCGCATATAATTGTCGCACGTCTGTGCAGAGTCGCAATACATCGATCGATTGGGACATGCAGACTCGAGACATTTGAGGGCGACTCGGCCAAATTGTGATTGGGACTCATTCTTTGGGACCAGGTCCACAGCGGAATGTACCCTTAGATCTTTATGGGGGATATGCAGCTAAGTTGCGTATTATGGTGTCATGTTATAATTTCCTGAACTATGGCACTGCACTAACGCGTACAAGCAACGATTGGCTCTTCCGGGATCAATCATCCCATACTTGCAGCTAGCGACGACTGGCAATCAGGGGTTGTGACCGTCATTGCCGCTCGTGCGACGACTTAGCGACGACCAATCTTAGTGCGACGACTATCTCTCGTGCGACGACCTCCGTGCGATGGAGGCGCCGTCGCCATCGAGTGACCCACCGAGTAGCACCGCGCCACATGTCGCAGCCAGTAGCGCCGCGGCACGTGTCTTCAACGTGAATGTCGGCATTCTGGGGCACATCGACAGCGGCAAGACGAGCCTGGGTGAGCCGAGCCGCACGTTCTGAGAATTCTCAAAAGTCAAGGAGGATTCTCAAAGGCAAGACGAGCGTCGGTGAGCCGAGCCGACACGTTCAGGATTGACTTTTGAGGAATTTCTCAAGAGTCAATGGGAATTTCTCAAGAGTCAATGGGAATTTCTCAAAATTCCAGGCGAACCTCGGTGAGCTGAGCCGACACGTGGCAGCACGACACGGATTTCGTCCCGCGCCACCTCGGTCCCGCGACACGGGGTGGGGGTGGCAGAGTAGCTGGATAGTGTCCTGCCACCCCCACCCCTCCACATGCCTCCTCTCCCGACCCTCTCCAGCCAGCGCGCTAAGCACGTTGCTGAGTACAGCCACGCTCCACCCGCTCTTCGCATGTCTATGCAGAGAATTTTTTAGAATTCTCAAAAATACTCTATGTCCCTATCCTTCCATGCCCGCACTCCCCCATGCCCCCACTGCCCCATGCCGCACTCCCCCATGCCCGCACTCCCCCATGCCCGCACTCCCCCATGCCCGCACTCCCCCATGCCCGCACTCCCCCATGCCCGCACTCCCCCATGTCCCTGTGCCCCTCTCTACGCCTTCCCTGGCTCCAGCCAAGGCGCTGAGCACGCTGCTCAGCACAGCCGCGCTAAATCCGCTCTTCCCGTCCCCTCTCTGTACCTTCCGCCCCCCTCCCATGCCCCCTCCACACAACTCCCACACTCTTCCCTTCCCCAGCCAGGGCGCTCAGCACGCTGCTCAGCACAGCCGCGTTGGACAAACACCCGCAGAGCGCGGAGAGGGGAATCACCCTCGACCTCGGGTTCTCCGCCTTCCAGGTAGCTCCCTGGTAGCTTCCGCGTGTCTTTCAAGTAGCTTCTCAAGTGGTTCTTGTATAACCCATCTGCCCTCTCCTGTCTCATTTCACCACTCCTTTCCACTCCTTTCTACTCCTTTCTACTCCTTTCTCCGCACCCTTTTGTCAGGTGGACGTCCCTCCATCCCTTGTTGCTCAGCTGCCGCCTTTCGACAAGATTCAATTCACTCTCGTGGACTGCCCCGGCCACGCCTCTCTCATCTCTCCCTCTCACTTGCAGCCTACCTCTCCCCCATCTCACTCTCTCTCCCTTCACACCCAGGTGGACGTACCCGGTTCTCTAGCACATCAGCTTCCATACGACAAGATTCAGTTCACGCTCGTCGACTGCCCCGGCCATGCCTCCCTTATCCGCACCATCATTGGAGGTCCGTCCCTCGCCTCCTGTCAGTTATCCCTATGATTTTATGATTGCCAAATTTTTCTGAAGAAAATGCCGTTTAGGTGATTTCCTAACAGGTATAGAGACCCCGTCCCCCCCTCCTCCCCCACATGACTATCATCCCCATCATTCCCACCCCGTTCAACCCTTTTCCCGCTCACCCCACCCATCAATCATATCCATCAGGAGCACAGATCATAGACATGATGCTGCTTGTGGTTGACGTCACCAAGGGCATTCAGACGCAGACAGCAGAGGTGAGGGGGAGGCTTGCTTTTGTTGGAGTGACTGTCTAGAATGCTTGCTCTTGATATTGGCCAATGCTTTCGTAACACACTCTTTTTCCTCCGTCTCATTTTTTTGAATTCCTGCATTTCTCCCTTTCTCCGCCATTTCTCCCCTTTATTCCAACCCCTTCTCTTGATTCTCCCCGCTTCTCCCCGCTTCTCCCCGCTTCTCCCCGCTTCTCCCCGCCTCTCCCCGCCTCTCCCCTGCCCGTGTGTGTATCGGCAGTGTTTGGTAGTGGGTGAGGTTTCCCCAACCAAGGAGATGGTCGTGGTGCTCAACAAAACGGTACCACATACACTCATGCCATTCCTCGCCGTGCCATGCCATGCCAGCTTTCCTCCCTTCTGCCGGCTCCTGGCCCCTTCTCAATCGATCCTCTGCTCTCCGTTCCGTTCCCTTAAATCAGGACCTTTTACCTGCTGCCACGAAGCAAGCACAAATCGATAAGGTAGGTAGGGCCATGACTGGCTGACTGATGGCAATATGAGTTTTTTTTTTTTTTTTTTGGTCCGGATATGATCGGATATGATGTGTATAAATGGATTCATGTGCACATCGCACAAATCACTACACAACAGCCCTTGTCCCTCACGGTGCTTCTAAACTTGTCGCTTGCCCCTTTGTGAGGCACTTCAAACTTGGATGCATGTCTAGTTCTCCCCTGCTTACATCTCTCTGCCATCCCTCTTACAGATGAGGAAGCGGCTACGAGCCACGTTGAAAGGCACCAAGTTTGCTGACGCTGCCATGGTTGCAACAGCAGCAGCAGCCATGCCATCAGCAGCACCAGAAAAGGCAGTAGCAGCACAACCAGCAGCAGCTGCAGAGGGCATAGCTGACATCATTAATGAGCTCATGGCGCGGGTACCTTGTGAGTGATCTTGTTTTGAGGCGCCTCAAAACACAACCAGCAGCAGCTGCAGAGGGCATAGCTGACATCATTAATGAGCTCATGGCGCGGGTACCTTGTGAGTGATCTTGTTTTGAGGCGCCTCAAAACACAACCAGCAGCAGCTGCAGAGGGCATAGCTGACATCATTAATGAGCTTGTGGCACGGGTACCTTGTGAGTGATTGAAATGGAAGGCTTTTTAGGCGCCTCAAAAATTCCTACGAGGCATCGTGTTGACTTTTGAGTCGACTCAAAAGGCGCCTCAAAAATACCTACGAGGCATCGTGTTGACTGTTGAGTCGACTCAAAAGGCGCCTCAAAAATACCTACGAGGCATCGTGTTGACTGTTGAGTCGACTCAAAAGGCGCCTCAAAAATTCCTACGAGGCATCGTGTTGACTTTTGAGTCGACTCAAAAGGCGCCTCAAAAATACCTACGAGGCATCGTGTTGACTGTTGAGTCGACTCAAAAGGCGCCTCAAAAATACCTACGAGGCATCGTGTTGACTGTTGAGTCGACTCAAAAGGCGCCTCAAAAATTCCTACGAGGCATCGTGTTGACTGTTGAGTCGACTCAAAAGGCGCCTCAAAAATACCTACGAGGCATCGTGTTGACTGTTGAGTCGACTCAAAAGGCGCCTCAAAAATTCCTACGAGGCATCGTGTTGACTGTTGAGTCGACTCAAAAGGCGCCTCAAAAATACCTACGAGGCATCGTGTTGGCTGTTGAGTCGACTCAAAAGGCGC